AAAAGACGTTTATGAGAAAGTTCCAGTACAGCAGCATGAAGCACCAGTGATGAGACGAATGTAAAGTCGGCGGCTCTTCTTCTTGTGTTTTGAAGAGTCACTGCGAGCCAGTTTACACATCTGAGAAAACTTTACACAGGAGGAGCTCCAAAGTGTCGTATTTACAAAAAAGAAAACCTCAGGGTTACAGTTGGATCTGTAAACTAACATGCAACCCGAATAATAACTTCTCCAGCATGCTAGTTGGACTGAGCATGCCCAGTTCACCCTTAAAGGAGGATCTGTACTTCAGCAGAAGGCCTGTACACTTCCTCTTGGTATTTATTATCACTGACAATCGCTGAAATGTTCACCAAGCTTAGAGGCAAAGTAGTGACCCTCTCGTATCCACACTTCTTCACCAAAAAAAACTCCACCTGTCATACATGCACCACATTTAATGCTTGTATGTCAGTGTTTAGATTTGATTTATGTGTAAAACCAAACTGTCTTCATCATAAAGTCATCGAATCCTGATAACATCAGAATCATCCGTCTTCATGTGATTCAGACTCGTAACCAGGATACTAGCGAGCATGTGTTCCAGATATTATCATTTATGCAATTCAAAATGACCAAACCAGCCCGTCCAACAGAAATCCCATTTATAAGCCGCTAACATGCACAGAAACTACTGTACATGTTTCAGAAGGTTTGTAATACTGCCTGGTAGTAGTAATACTGGTCGTATCTGTCAAATCACAAACAATTCACAGATACTGAACATGTGAAATAAAGCAATTAACTTTTAAATGTAAAACCCAGCACTGCTTCGATTCTTCTGATCAAAGTGTTAATTAGCAGCATATAACCAAGACTTCTGGTGGACGAAGACGAGAAAGACATTGTTATGATCTGGATACTTGTGAGCCAACTTTCTTAGAAATAGAAGAAGAACCTGAAGGGATTCTGGGGATGTTTAAGGAACCTTTCATGCTTGGGAGGAACCTTTAACAGCTCAGTTTAGAGAACAGGCTGCTGGAGCACTTTGAATTTATACTTTTGTATAAATGAATTACTTTGTAAATAATAATAATTTCGAATAACAAGACTGAGAATATTGTAATTCTTAATTTTAGTCCAAAAAACATACTAAGAAGTTATTACCAGTTATATTAAGTTGTGGATCTCTTTTGACCAATATTACAGATGTTAGGAAATGCAAAGTTTAGTTTTTGTGTCTTCTTTAAAGAGAAAAAAAAAGACTTGATTTCACTCAAACTAAACAGGCAGAGAAAATAATAAACTGTAGTTGACTATTGTATGCAATGTGTATATCCAGTTGTAATTCACAAAAAGAATTGATCTAAACAAATGTTTTATTGTCAGATCTGTGTCCACATTTAGTTCTGGTTATTTTAAAGAGAGACTATATTTAAAGGGCTGCCAGAAGTAATCTGAAGTCTAAAAGGCTCCAGACTTAATGGTGGAAAGTGAAGTACATCTTCTGAATTTGTGCATTTCCATTTTATCTGTTTAATGCTACGGTCAGGCCTGTTTTTTGTTCTTCACACTCGAAGCTCTGTCACAATCAGTTTGATATAAAATAATGAATAGCACATTGAAAATTAGAATCTCATCTGACTAAAGCTAAGGTTCCTATTTGCCTGTTTTATTTAGGGAACATGCGCAGTCTTGTCAAATCAATGGACACACATTGAGTTGAATGTGGTCCCTGTTGTTTATTCTTATGTTTGGTGTAAAAAAAAAAACACCACAATAATGGATTTTTATCATAGTAATGAGCTCAAAATGGAACCCTAAACTCCAACAAACTCAAGAGAGTTGCAGCGGTGAGGCACCCCCAGAACTTTCCTTGAGGTTCTTCAGTTTCTAAAAGTGTCGGAGAATCAATGATTTCATAAAATAACGCAGCATTTTCCCGTTAAAACTCTCATCAGTGTGAACAAGATGTAAGAAATGTAGGAAAACTATTTAACAAAACGCCCCTCAGACTTCTGTATTTCAAAAACCTCATATAACTTCTGCTCCGTCTGCAGAAACGTCACATCAAATACTTCAAAAATATCCAATATATCATCTATCATATCTACAAATACCTCTGACACGTTGCCATCAGCTTCCTACAGTTGAGTGCTTCTCTAAAATAGGTAGTTTTTCTTTATGATTAAATACTTGTCCGCCTCAGTTTACCATAAAAATACTCAGAATCTACAAATCCAGGCTGCCTTACAGTTTAAATTCAGGCCAAAGGCTTTCATTTCCAGTGCAAAAACTCATTTCTAACCCTCATATTTGACGCTTTTCATGATTTAAATTGCTGATGTTGAACAAGCTGCAGCTGCAAATAAGGCAGCTGACCTCTGATGCAGGAATAAAAGGGATCCGTGTCTTTGTCTTGATGAACCCGACTGCAAACTGCATGCAGCAGACTGTCAACATGATCGTCTCTGAGGCCTCCCAGGCGTGTTTTTAATCCTCTGTAATCATCACCTCCTCATCAGAACAGTCAAAAGGCAGAAACTCCCTGCAGCAGACAGCTTCCTGAGATCGTCAGTTCGAAGCTTCGGGCCTGAAATAAAATAAAAGGCCGTCGCTGTGAGCCGACGAACCTCCGACATGCACCTGCTGAACCGACCGAGCTGGAAGACATCTTTGATTCTCGGCGGGGAGGTGATGAAGGACGCAGACAAAGTGGGAAAACATTTAACTGAGTATTACAGGGCGTCTTTAGCTCTCGGCAAGTTCAGGTCGATTTGTTTTTTCACATCTCCGTCAGCGGCTCTTTGAATTCTGCCACACAGATTCTGCACGACTGGGTTTGATTTTCAGCAGAAACGTGTTCGACTGAAGAAAACATCCAGTTTTTAAGGTTGTTTTTATGTCTTTAAGGCAGCACAAAGGCATGAAAGGAGCTCAAAATGGCAGAAAAAGGGACGATTTTAATTTAAAAATCTGAAATATTCACCCTCTTTGAAGGTTTTATTGCTTTTTAACATTAAATCAGTCAATGTTTTGGGATTTTTGGACAAAAATGTGCTAATAAAGACTCCTTTGTGTCAAAGTAATGCCAATTTAGTAAAAATTAAAAGTGTTAAAGGTTGTTTTTATGTTTTCATAGCAGCATAAAGGCATTAAAATCACTTCAAAATGTAGAAAGAGGGACCTTTTCAGTTCATAAATATAAAATATTCACCCTCTTTGATGGTTTTATTGCTTTTTAACATTGAATCAGTCAATATTTTGGGCTTTTTGCACAAAAATGTACTAATAAAGTCTCTTTCGTGTCAAAGTGAAAACAGATTTCTACAAAGTAATGCCAATATATAAAAAATTAAACGTGTTAAAGGTTGGTTTTATGTTTTTAAGACAGCATTAAAGCTTAATAGAAGGTCAAATGGCAATGACAGGAACATTTTTTAAATTTTAAAATTTAGTTTTCTGTGGACAAAGAATCCCAGAAACAATATGAATGTGAGTGAAGTGACCAAATCTGACATTCATGTTGAACTTCTTCAAATAATAAAGCCGCTTATTGCAGTTTAGCATTGAATCCAGGTCAATTTAATTCTGCTTTTTGGACATGAATTAGTGGAGACGACAACACTCGAATGAAGCTTGTCCAATTTCAAAAGTTTTTACGTTTGCTTGAGGTCATTTTTATTTATTTATTTTTAAATGGATGCTAATGAGCTTTATGGGGAAATGGAAACAACTTTTCTAATTAAGTTCTGATGTAGCGAAGATTTATTTCACATAACTGTTGTTGCACCGTCTCTGGACTTCATCAGTTGTCTCTCATAAATGAACAAAGTTTACTTCCTTTATAAGATATTTTAGCAGTTGGATTTCGTCTCCAGCTTCTTCTTCTCCTCCTCTTTATTAAAGCCCTGCTGCCTGTACCGCCACCTTCTGGCGACACGAAGCAAACCAAAATCGCACCTTATTTTTTTCACATTTGAAAACTCGCTCCCGACTCCAGTTTTTGGGGGGTTTTTTTTGCCCTCTCATGAGGTTTTTCTCAAACTCAGAAATTAAAAACCATCACAGCGTCCAGGTCGGCTCACAGCGAGCAGCTTCTGCACCTCAGATCTCAGCGTTCACAGTTGACAGCCGAACTGCTGCAGTTTATCTGCACCAGGCTCCAGTTTAGTCGTATTACCAAACCACTTATGCTCCTGACAGGCTGCGAAGCATCGAGAACATGCTTTAAAAGACGCAGCCTGCACAAAAACGTTGCGTTCTACCCGTCAGGAGGGTACAAATGATGTTGGATAAACTCTGGAATCATGCAGCCAACAGATGGAGGCTGTTTTTCCAACATTTTAAGTGCATTTAGATGATTTCCTGGCCTCCAACACAAACAGTGTCAGACACTTGATCATGTATTGGACACAGAAAACCATCAGTAATCATAGATGGATGATTCTACACTGGAGCCATTATTCTCAAAACGTATGTCCACAGTGAGAATTCAGTTGCTCTCTTCTTTTTTTCCCCTAAATAAACAAGAGATCCTTATAATGTCTCTGATTATTTTTCCAGGTTTCATCCACTCCAACACTGTACTTTTAGGATCTTGATCATAAATAACACGTGAGATTCCCCAACCATGAAAGCAGCTTCCACAAAACTTTAACAGAATCTTCTTTCTGAGCCTCCATGGATGCGTTTCAGTCACACGAGCTCCCGACTGGAAGGCCGGTGCACGTAAAGGGTTAAAAACCAGATATTTTTTTTCAATGCATCAAATAACCGCTTCACACACACACAGACCCTAAAACTGTCGCTGGAAAAAATAAGTCTGGTTGCATTCCAGCGGCCGTGCGGCGAGGCCAGTCAGGACTCAGGAATGAGGGACAAATAACAGAAAATGTCTGCGTCGGAGGGCTTTAAAAGCGACGCACGAAGCTTAAAATGGCGACGTGGAGGCGGCGGGTGACACACGATGAGTGGAAATGTGAAAGGAAACGGTAAAGGAAGAAAAGCAAACGTAAAAGCAAACACAGGATCATTAATTTATTCAACACGTTCATGGTTCATGTTGTAAATGATGCTTTTCTTTACATAAACACAAAGTTTGTGTTAAAAAGAAGAAAAGAAAAAAAAAAAAGAAGTGTGTATTACATTCAACTAAAAATCTGAATCAAGTCAAGTCCTGAACATCACATCCCCACTTTGGGATGAGAAAAGAAAAATGGAAAATTTGATTAAATAAATAAATAACAATAATTATTCCAAACGAGCACCTGTTAGGCTACAGCTTTACTCCATACTGAGGCAATGACTAATATTTTATATATATATATTTTAATACAATTATAATATAAAACATCAGGTAAGATAATATACTGCATCCATACTGCAACTCCCAACACAGTTTTCCTCATTTTTGTCTCGTTTTTTGGGGGGATTTTCTTTCCAAAACTTCAACACTGGACATGTTTTTTTGTTCTAGAGTTCATGTGGAAACTTTATTTTGGGGTTTTAATATCATTCAGGGTTCTTTTAAACATTTCTAAGCGTGTTCAGAAAGAAGACGAAGCAGCAGCACAGTGTCCGTGGAAGGAAATGGAAGAAATTTGTCTTTGGGTTTTATGAAGAAAATGCAGAAAAAAAGACAGTTGCTGGTTATTTAGGAGTTTTGTGCGACTTAAGCAACAAGAACCCACTTTGTTTTCCTCCCGAACACACCTTTAGCACAAGTTTTCTGTTTTAAAACGACGGTGGCTGCACTGCTATTTACAAAACGCAGTTAAATCGATTTAATTTCAGTGCAAGTCTGAGAAAACTGCTCCTTTTTTTTAGGCTTTTATTATCTGCAAATGCTCCTCTACCTCCAAGAAAACTCCTCTTTTGTGTGTGTAGCTTCCATCTCGTGATTAAAAAAATTATGAAACACGTTAAAAGAAAAATAAAGTGGGGACACCTGCTCTCATAAACTCTATACATCAATCAACTGTGAGCACATCAACCCCCGAAAATTCGACTGATTTAAAAAAAAAAAAAAGAAGAAGTCAAATCTGTGATGCTTTTTCTAAATTACGAGTTTTACATTTGATCTAAACCCACTTGTTCCACCTCAAAAAAGGGCAAAAATCAAAACACATACAAAAGGTACGCGATGCATCGATGACTTATTGCTTCAAACATTTGTTCTTCTAGTCGCTCAAACTCGACGGGAATCTTAGCGGACGGCTCGTATCGTCGGACTCGACGTTTGCACCCTGAGTCCACCGATTAAACACGACGGTGTCAAAACAATGAATAGTGCATTTACACAGTGGCAACACTCCGGAGGCCAGAGTCGACGACAGCGAGCTGAAAAATCAGCATCTTTCTTCGTCCGAGTCACTAAAAAAACAACCGATGGTGGTTGGCGATGACGGACTGACTCGCCGTCGACTCTCCTCCTCCTTTAGGTAGACTTCTCATTTTCAAAGACAGCAGCTTAAACAACGCAGTGCAACACTTTAACTCCTGCAGCCAAAGACGACAACATACTAACGACACGCTAAGACGCTCGGCTGCTGAACCTCGTGACGTCTTGTGGAAGATGTAAACCTACGTATACGCTTCTTTGCTGACGATCGTATCGGGCTTTTTTTTCATGACAAGGTTTTCTTTTACAGGATCTCTCGAGTGCATTTGACAAGTTTTTCTAAACACGACTGTCGTGTCATTTATGTGACTGAACGGCAGAAACGTTTTCCTCTTAATGAATAAACGTGTTCACGAAACGACGGTGAGTGTGTGAGAATAGAAACAAATCTAACAACTGCTGAATAGTTTGAGTAATTTATTAGTTATGGAGGTTTAGATTTTGAAGAAAAATACAATAAAAATCTGCAGTTTTAGCTTCTTGAATGTGAGGATTTGCTGTTTTTTGTCTGGTTTTATATTATTGTAAAATAAATCGGACAAGCCTTGCAGTTTAGAAGGTGAATGCTTTTCTGTTTTATCACCAAAAAAAAAAAAAAAAAAATCGGACAAGCCTTGCAGTTTAGAAGGTGAATGCTTTTCTGTTTTATCACCAAAAAAAAAAAAAAAAAATTGATCATTAGGTTTTGATTTAACACAAACATTTGAGCAATGGGGGATCGTTTTACTGACTTTAAAACTGCAGAAAATAAAATTAACCAGAAAAATAACCAAAATATTTAGCAGTGATTGCAAAAATCAATTACTAGAAAGAATAAGTTGTCCTTTTTTTTCTGCTAGATCCCTTGTCTTCTAGGAAGTAAGTCAACAAACAGAGCTGCTTTTTTAAAAAACAAAACTGGAGTTTTGCTTTTGGGAAAATCTTTCAACCCAGATTATTGTCTCAATTTGTCATTCAACATATAAAATGTTGGGAAATTGTGAAAAATGTCCATCATAGCTTACAAATGATGGTAAAAAACCAAAGAGTCAGTTTACTACAGTGCAACAGGAGGAAAATGAGCAAATCCTCACATGAGAGAAGCTGGAACTTGTGATTTTTGGGGCTCAAAAACTCAACTATTGTACAGTTGTCAGTTTTCTGCAGGTTGATTTTTGGACCACTTAGGGTTTAGGCAGTTGAAGTAAATAAATCTCCAGGTAAAAAGTCAGAAACTCAAAAACAGTAGCCACCAAACGTGTCTGAAGCTACGCTGGAGGCCTGATTCTTGACCTTTGACTCCTTCGTGCCCAGAATCGGCGTCTAACTCGCGCACCACTGCCCTCAGTTCGACCTGTCAGGCTCGAGGAGGGACGAGGCAAACGCTGTCCTGCTGCTGCCGAGTGTAACCGAGGAGCTGCCACAATGTTCCCGTGACGTGTTTACGCCGGCGGCTGATTTAGAGAACATGCCACGTCCCGCTAACCCAAACACAACCCTCCGCTGGGGCCCATGTACGGGCCGACTGTTTACCCGGCGGCCGTCAGCCTGACCGCTTCCAGACCAGCAGCCGCCGCTCGATGCCTGCTGGAGGGACGAGCCGGCCGTTAATCAGCCCGGCTCGTGTGACGGAGGGTTCTGGGAAACGGATTAAACGAGGCATTATCTCGAGCACCACTCTGTCAGCCTTAAGCAGCACCAAGGCTCGGTCCGAATCGGCGTTTGACTGCAGGTTCACACTGCAAACAACAACAACCAAGACACTAATCAACACTCAAATCATCAATTTCTGCTTTTTTCTTTAGAAACTAAACAATTTAATTCCTGTTTATTCGGATTTAGTGAGTTTTTACAGCATTTTTTCTTCATGAATTCATTCATTAAGTTTAATCATAAGATTTATTTCACTGGCACGAGTTGAAAAAAGCCCTAAAATAATCTGATTAATCTCATCCATCAACAGAAAATGTCATTTTAATGACTGATTACTTGTATTTGCTGTTTTCTATCTAACTTTAACTGCAGTTAATTAGAAAAAAAACAACCTTGAATTCTTGTAATTTGCATTTTTCTGATATTTTCTGACAGACTGGCTGCAGGATTTAATCAAAATACTAATTAGTTGAGAGTTTCATTGTTTTTTTTTTTCATATGAATTCATTTAATAAAGTTCATTATCTGCTAATTTAACTGGCATGGACCAACATGAGCTGAAAACAGCGATGGAACTTTCTAATTAATCTCATCCCTAAAGGAAAATAAAGCAATTTTAATGATGGATTAATTGTTTAGTAATACATTTTAAGCATACGCTGGTTGTAAATTGTCAGAATTTGCTGGTTTTCTGTGCTTTATTTCATTTTTAACTGCAGTTAATGAGAAAACAAACAACCCTAAATTCTTGTAATTTGCATTTTTCAGATATTTTCTGACAGATTGGCTGTAGGATTTAATCAAAATACTAATTAGTTGCAGCCCTGATTGGAACATTTAATCACAGTATATGAGTTTTCATTGGTTTTTTCCCCATATGGATTCATTTAATAAAGTTAATTATCGGCTAAATTGAACTGGCACGGACCAACATGAGCTGAAAATAGTGCTGAAATTATACATTCATTAACAGAAAATTACATTTTAATGATTAATTAAACTATAAGTGATGAGAGAGCAAAAAGTCTGAGCTCTAGCTGGTTGTAAAATGTCAGAATCTGCTGGTTTTCTGTTTTTTTATTTATGTTAACAACAATTAATTAAAGGAAAACAACCCTGAATCCTTGTAATTTGTATTTTTCTGAACATTTTTGATTGATTGGTCTGGTGATGCATCATTAGTTGCAGCCCTGATTGGAATATTTCATAAGAATATATACGTTTTTATTGTTTTTTTTATATGAATTCATTCATTAAGTTTAATTATCTAACTGGACCAACATGAGTTGGAAACAGCACTGAAATTATCCAATTAATCTCATCCAGAAAGAAAAAAAATAAGCAATTTAAATGATAGATGACTTGTTTAGTAGTAAATTCTGATCATAAGCAGATTGTAAAATGTCCGAATTTGCTCGTTTTCTGTTTTTTAACTGCAGTTAATTAGAAAAAAAAAAAGAATTCTTGTAATTTGCATTTTTCTGATATTTTTTAATAGATTGGCTGCAAGATTTCATCAAAATAATCATGAGTTGCAGCTCTGGTTGGAATATTTTAACAGAAAACACTAACATACATCAGCTGCTTGCAGTGTGAACACAGACATTTGAACAAGTACCAGGATTAAATCATGTGAAGTCATCGCTTCATCCTGAGGAAACATCAACGCCTGCAGTGCAAAAAACAACTCATCTGTATGTGCCGATAAATTCAAAACTACCTGATCTACAGATAAATTCATCCCAACTTCTTCAGCCCCAAAAAAATCGGTGTCAAGTGAAGCACTGCTGTCTCCTTAAAATACTCAAAAATAAATATACAAAAGTGTTTCTGAACCATCCGAGTCGCGAGAAGGCCACTTGGCATTTAAGCTACAAAAGGAAATAATAAACACTAGCATGATTATTATACAACTCAAGTGCACAAAATAAAACTGCTGAACATTCACAAAACGCCTCCGATCACACAAACTCCACATAGATTCGTTATTTTCCGAAAGCAGCTGGTATTTCCTTGGCAGCCCGTTTACGATCCTCCAGCTGGTTTGTTTGTTAATTTTAAAAAGAAAATCCGCGATTGGTAAATTAAAAAAAAAAAAAAAGAATAAACAGTACTTTAAGTTTATATTTGGATCTAAAACTTTACTTCTTTGCTTTCTAGATAAACATCCAACACTTGAATCTGATGAAAACCACAGTTTTTAGAAGGAATGACGAACCTACGACTATCGTTTTTATAGTTTAACCCTTTAAACCTGCACTGATTTTGAGATTTTCTATGATTTTATTTTTTTTTTTTTTATATTTCTACCAACGTCTTTGGTTGCAGCCACCATTTAAACATCTAGCTACCTGTCCGAGTACAATTCAGAGAAAAAAACAACTACAAAATGGGAGTATGATCGATAAACAAACTAAAAAAAAAAAAAAAAGAAAGAAAAAGTGAGTGGAATGACGGTAATGATGTTTACTGTGCAAATTCCAGAAATGATCTCTCATTTCTCTGAGATGACTGAAATGAAAGGCAAGACGGTTCACCTCAAAACTTTAAATACGTAAATCTCCTCGCGTGTTTCCCAAAAAAAAACACTTTTCTGTTTTCTCCTCGACCAGCTTTCAAGTTTGACCACGTCGTGTTCCCTGCGCTGATAAATAACTGAGTAAAATCACACAAAAAGCCAAACATCCACGTATGATACATGATCCGTCCGGAAAAAGATAATTTAAGTGGATTTTTGTGCATTTTTTTTTTTCACTCTTTTAAAGCCTCCTTTTTTTTCCGGAGCTCAGTTTACGTGACATTATCAAAGGAAGGCAGCCGTTACCTCGCGACTCTCCCTCGACTCGTCCGGAAGAATCCAGAGTTCGCTGTGAAAGTCACCGACTGCTCAGTGGTCTATTTGATTTTTTTTGTTGTGTGTTTTTTTGTTGTTTTTTTTTCCCCACAAACTCTGCCTGCGAGGACAAGGAGTTAGCTGTTGAGCGTGGCGGCCTGCTCCTTCTCGGCCTTCTCTTTGGCCTTCTCCTTCCCCATCAGCTTCTCCTCCTTCTGCAGCATCACCATGATGTCGGCCACCTGCGAGGTGGAGATGTCGATGTCCTCCTTGTCGATCAGCTCCACCACCTGGAGAGGCAAAACTCAGAGTGATTTCTAGTCTTTTAACCATCAGAAGTACGTGTGAAATCCTCAGTTAAATTGGAAAAATTGCATATTTATCAGAGCAGGAAACTCCTCGAACTACTCATCTGTGATGTGCGTTTCTTTGGAAAACTCTAAAAATCTAATCTTAAACTTTATTCTACATGTCTTATTTGAGAATTCGCCAAAAATGTAATGTTTGCGTTAAACTCATTCTGTAAAAAACAAAAAAATTGTTGCAGTTTAATGAAACCATGAAGCCATCAGTGACTTGATTGCGACTAACAGTCACATGAAAAAAATTCTGTGACTTTCCAGCTGAATTGCAGCCTTGCAAAACAAAGAAATTAAAGTTCTGTTTTGTTTTGTTTTTTTTTTTATTTTAAACAGCATTATAACTGTCATGCTGCACAAAAAGAACACTGCTGTGCTGTTACAATAAAGGTGCAGGACTTTATATTGCACCAAGTCACTTGACAACATTTCTGGAACTTGTTGGCTGAACTGCAGGCAGTGTTCACACTAAGCAGACAGGAGACGAGTGAGGAAACAAATTAAAAGTGTAAGAAGTAAAATATCTACAGCAAGTGGAGCCACCAGACTTTTTTCCGGCATTGGTAACACATGTGGGCACTTGGAAAAATGTTGTAGGTGTTGATTCAGCTTTTTACAATAAATAATCCAAGAAATTCACATTTTGTTTTGTCTTTTTTACGATTTACGACATTATATTGGTGTCATACTGAATAAGAGACATTTCTGAGTTTTCTCTCCTTCTAGTCGTGGTTGTTCTGTTTCCATAGAGGTGCAGGACTTGATATTGCAGTAAAAAAAATGAGCCTACAGTGAGTAAAAATGTCACATATATGCCATATACAGTGTAGCCTACATAGCCAGAATTCATCCAACTATTGTGAGAAGCTTGTGGAAGGAAACACAGAACATTTGACCCAAGTCATACAGTTTAAAGGCAACACTACCAAATACTGAGGAGATGGATGTAAACTTCTGACTGTGAAGAAAGTAGTAAAAAAAATCTGTCTCTCATTGTTCTGGCGTTTAGCAAATAGAAATAATGTTGGTGATCCTGACTGACCTCAAACAGGTTTAGTCTGATTTAATGTCAGATAGAGAGAAAAAAAAAAGGTTTTATGTCTTCTTATACAGTGGATATAAACGTCTGGTTTCAACTGCAACTCTCCACATTTTAACATATTAAATTTGTTGAGCACTTCATCACACATGAAAGCAAAAAGCTTCTCGTGGAACCCAGACAGACAGACTATCTGCAAACAGCACACTGCGGAAGCGACGTACTTTGATGACGTCGTCGATGTCGATCTTGCCGTCCTTGTTGTCGTCGAGCGCCTCGGCGATGCTCTGCAGCTTGTGCTCTGGAATGTTCTGGATCTGCCGCATGACGTTGATGAGCTCGTCGATGCTGATCAGGTTCTCCCTGAAGGTGTAGAACAGACTGCATACAGGAAACGGTTACAAGGTTGGACCGGACGTAAAATGCGGTGGAGAAAGTTCCCAAAAGGTCGACATGCTGCATTCAAAGGTCCCCAGATCACACCAATCAAACCGATTCTTTGTTTTTGGATTCAGTTTGTATTCAGAGCAGGTTAAATTTGGCTGAAATCATGCTGAAATGCAATGCAGCACACTCAGTTTCAGGTGATTTTTTTTCTTGAATACGGTGCATTTAAAGTTGCACAAGACAACCTTAAACAAAGATAAATTAATTTTGACAAGCTGTACTCATCGTTTGACAGAAACACATACTGTAGCTTGAACCTTTGTCAGACACTTTAACACCGTCTGAAACACCATCTGTCAATCAAGCAGTTGCATCTTTTATGCTACATGACGTGATTTTAATTCCATTAAAAGACAAAAAAAAAACAACTGTTTAGTAAATTGGGAGCACAGCACTCTGGTGACTGGAGCACAAATGGAAGCTAAAAAAATTAAAAAACAAGGTGAAAGTGATGGTTGATCCTTTACGATTTCAGCATCTGGCAACAAAAGATGTTAGCGGTTCACAAGCAAGCAGATGGCGGTTTACCACGTTCCAGCTTACCTGGTGGCATCGCTATATTTAGTAAAGAATAATCTGTGAAATGTCAAACTGATTAGGGACTGGACTTGAAAATTACATCAAACAATTGGTAATTTTTTTTGTATATTTTGGGGGGAAACCTTGTGTTTTTTTCTTTAATTTATCTTATCTCCACCACCATTTTACAATGAAAGTAATGATGATGAAGAAGAAGATGATGAAGAAGAAGGAGATGATTTAAGATGATTTATGAAGCACAGATGGAAAGTTAAAGTAAAGGAGGCACAGGCAAAATTTTGAGAAAAAACACAAAAATCTAACGACGACATCAGCAGCCACCTTGTACATTTATATCTATGTGTGTATATATGTATCTATATTTCCATTAATAGATATTTTATTCATACTCAAAATGACTGTAAGATGGAGATCAGGTGATTGGGATTTTGATTCATCAGACGTACACTAAAGCCCTTTTCAGACATGCGATATGTAACGTTGCAGCTTCATCGTTATTCAGATAAAGTACAGAGTGCATAATAATGCACTAATGAACAAAAGAATAACAGCAAACTAATTAAACTCCCTAAAAGCTAATTATCATACGGATTGAGAACACTGAAAACTCTGTCCATGTGTGAGGATACCTTAACAGTAAAATAAAAGCATCCTAATGATTTAACTCCATCCTGTCTCCGTGTCAGGGGTAATTTATCATTATTAGTAACTGTATTTGTGCATAAATGCAGCAACTCTGTCGCTTTGAAGACGCTCATGTGGATCCTGCTGCTGTTTGATGCTGCAGATATTTAATAAACTCAGAGGAAATAGTCCTAAACAACCAGAAACAATGAGCTAAACTCTAGTTCCAGTTATTGTTTTGTCAAAACCGGGATTACATTTGTGGTAAAAATGTACATTTCAGTTACAATAATACGCAAAATTGGAGCACAAAGTGCATGATAAAGGCGTCTGGAGTTTGGAAACAAACTAGGTCTTTTCTTGGCTCAACATTACGGCAGAAATGTGGAAAAAGTACTGCTACGTAGCAAATTATTTACTTCCAGCTGACAAACTGTGACTCCTTGGGAGGTTGAAGAAAAGTTCAGTGTTACCTGCTGTTAGATCCTGATCCATTCTGTCTCCATGTCAGGAGTAATTTATAATTACTAGTAATTAATAATTACTGCAGTTGAGCCTCATTGCAGCAACTCTGTCGCTTTGGAGACTCTTTGCTGTCTGATTCTGCAGATCTTTAATAAACTCAGAGGAAATATTCCTAAACAACCAGAAGCAACGAGTTAAACTTCTGGTTCTGTTAGTTAAAACCTGGATTACATTAATTATTGGTGAGTCTGAACGGTTACAGACTTCTGTGATTTCTGGAAGCACGCTGTGTCGTTTTAGCTCTATGTGAGGTTTCTGGATTAATGTTAACGATACAGAAGTGTTACTGGATCTGACCAAGTAAGACCGCTGTTGTCTTTAAATGTAAAGTTACCAAATTTAGACATGAAGCCGAAATGTTTAGTCGCTGTCAGAATAAAGAAAAGGAGTGCATGTCTGAAAGGGGCTTAATAAAAATCAACGATCGGTAACCACGAGAGATATTAGCCATAAACGGGAGGATCTTTAACTACTGAGAGCACTAAAAGCAGTTTGATTAAAGACATCCTAAGATTCCTCACCAGGAAAAACTTGGAGTTTACGTATAAACTATCTATATTTTCCTAACAAGAGATTTTGTGATTTTTTTTTCTCTCTCCATCAAAAAGTTGCCTTTCAAAAGCTTCACGACCTTCGCAAACACAAACACTAAAGCTTGTGAAATGGTGCAAAGCCACGAGAAGTTCTCAAAGGAATAGTTCAACACTGAGGAAATTGATTATTTGCTTTCTTTCTGAGAGAATTTTAGGCAGAATTTTAAACCTTGCACAGAGCCAGTCTAGCTGTTTTCTCCCTGCTTCCAGTTTTTTATGCTAAGCTAGGCTAATCCTGTCCTGCGTCCAGCTCACACACACACACACACACACACACACACACACACAAAACTCCTCAGAAAGAAAGCAAATAAACACATTTCCCAAATCTTGAACTTTTCCTCTGAAGAGTAAAACCATCATGAAACCTAAAACACCTAAAATCAGAAATATAAAATGTTGAAAGTAATTTAGTATCTTAGCATTAACGAGCTAGCGCGGGTCAGGTGTGTTTTATCAGCCTCACTCTCTTATTTAGCATGTCGTTGGGGTATTTCTAAAATGTGTGCAATTAACCCTCTGAACCCAAGGCACGTTATCTGTTTTTAAAAATTGCCCAAATTACACAATTTATCAAATTGTATTTGTCAGATTTTCAACTGATTTTCCGACAGTCTTTGAACTACTCATCTGTAGGAAAAATTAACCAACTCTAAACTCCAAAATCCAAGATAACTTTATTTTACAAAAAAAAAAAAAATGCCAAAAATAAACTGCTTGATTTAACCAGATTCTGCAAAAAAGAAAAAATTCTGCGCACCTCGACGCAATCGTGACACCATTGGTGACTCAGCTGCAACCAACGGTCACGTGACAAAAATTCTGGATATTTTTGGCTAAATTGCAGGCCGTGTTTACACAGAGCAGATTGAAAACAAGTATGAAAACAAATGTCTATGGTCGTATGTGGAGTCACCTTTTTTTTTCCAATAATGGTAACACCTGTGGGTAAAAATGTTCTACATGTTGGTTTCAGGTTTTTCACAATTTTTGCAAAATAAATAATCAAAGAAATTCAACTTTTGTGCTCTCACTACTCCCACCCATGTTGTTGTGTTTCCATAAAGCTACAGGACTTTAAATTGCAGAAAAATTTAGTTAAAAAGCAAAAAAAAAACACCCAGAAACTGCTTTGGGGGTTCAGAGGGTTAAATAAATCTATTCTAACTAAAGTTTGCTCTACAGCAGCTGCTAGCAGACGAACTAAACTGCTTTTTGTAGACTAATTTTCACTAGTAGGAGGAATGAAGCTCTTCTATGCTGCTGTCCTGACAGACTACGCTGCGGTGAAGTCGCTCAGCTCTTACCCAACGGGCGGCGTGGCTCCACTTTCCACCTGTCCATCCAAGATGACCTTGTCCTTCTCCAGCTCCAGGATGATCTTGTCGATGCGACCGATCATCCGGTTCACCCTCTTGGTAAGGCGCTGGCTGGCCTTGGACTCCTCCAGGGCCTTCTCCTGGCCCGTCTTAGAAAGCTCCTTCTTGATCTCTTCAAGATCCTGGAAAACAAAGACAGACACACGGATCAGCCACAGCGAAAAAATGCACTTTTACTCATGCAGAGTGTTTCCTGAAATTTTAATATTTGCACGTGGTTTCATCAGTTTTGCTTCTTTGCACTGAATGAATAATTTCGTTGTACCTTTTGTATAATGACATCAAAGATTCTGATTCTGAATTAGGTATTTTTTCATTAAATGGACAAAAATTCCAAGAAAATGCACAGATTTGTGTCTTGGCTTTACTGGATCGATCATGCTTAACCCCTAAAAAGCCCATTCTGAGGCAAGAAAAACCCTGAATAACTCAGATCGGCATTTTTGCAAAGTCAAAGCTTCAAAATGCACACATTACACTGATTAGGTTCAGATATTGGTTGCAAAATTACTCAAAAATGTGCAGTTTGCGGTTGAATTACTCATGCATGATGACATTTTTGTTTATCAAATGGTCAAAACAAAAAGAAAATACAACACAGCTTTATTTCCTTATTGGACAATAATGTTTAACCCCCTAAAGGCCCATTCTGAGCCAAAAAAAAAACCCAAATAAGCAAAATCTGCCTTGATGCACAAGCAAAGTTTGAAAATGCACACATTCATTTCAGATTTTGAGGCTAAATTACATTTTTTTTTAAATCCTCAGATTTGAGTACATATAAAGCTTGAATTTCTCAAAGTGAAGCACCTCGTTGTATTCCTGCACGTCGTCCTTCAGCTCCTCCAGCTCCTCCTTCTCCAAAGTCAACAGCTTCTTCTGTTCCTTCAGCTTCGTACAGGCGTCGCTCAGCAGGTCGATCTCCTCTTTGGTGATCTCCTCACCCTGGAATGTAAAGGCAGAATCCAGAAATATATCCTCTACTTGGTGGCAAGCATTCTTCACAGTATTTTAAGTCACATTTTAGCTGTTTAAGGTCATGTCTCCCTGCAAAATGCATATATATACCTCTATACAATCCAGTTATTACAACCACCACATGTGCATTTAATATAAACCCACATAAGGACCCAACCCAAAGACACAACACTGGTAAAAGAGGGAGGATTGAGAGGACAGTGGGATTCTCCCCATAACCCAACAACACATGACAACATGATGGGAAAATAAAAACTCTGTGGAGCTGCAAAGGTGGTTAGTTAGGGAAGGAAACATTACGCTGCCTGCAGGATCCACAAGGGAAAGAGGGAAAAGTCCATGTAGACGTGGGATAAACAGAATTTGCAAGTCATATTTAGCATTTCTTTATTGAAATCAGAAAGTGGGATTTTGTCTAAAAAAGTGAGGAAATGCTGGAAAATATTGACGATAGATTTAAAATTTCCTTTCATTTGGTGTAAATAGTCAAAAACAAAGAGAATATAATTTGATTTCAGGCTTTATAATCTGTCTTTGCTGTTATTCACTTTGCCGATTGTGAGCTTTTTGTGTTAACTTTATTTTCTTCAGCTGTCACTTCCAAATGTGCATTTGTTTTTTCATGCTAGATTTGCACGTGGAGGTTACTTCCTTCGATTCTGATTATGTTTCTCACTCTTGAAATGTTTTAAAATGAAATGCCAGCATTACATGCAAGTTCTGTTTAACCCACGTCCGGGTCTGCTCGCAGGAACACCGGGTTCTAGGCGTGCAGGGATAAACTGGTGTGAAATCGGGGGGATCGTGTGGAAGAAGGCTTGAATCAACCTAACCTGGTAGCGCAGAAATCTCTGCCACTGTTCAAACTGTGCGGTGCAGAACGAAAAGGCGGCAACAAGTGAGTGACAACAACAGAGCATCGAGTATTAATGCTGTTTGCTGGTGGAGAAAGTTAGAAAAATGACCTGCAAAGTGAAAAGTTAGCGACAAAACTGGTCCCGATAAATAAAATGTTGTCAGTACAAATGTGTAAGACTGAATTTAAACATCAAAATGAGAAAAATCTATAAAATTAATAGCATATTGCATGAAATTTGGTATATAAACAATATAAAACATTACATATCTTTGCCACTAAAGGTCTCAAGGGCCGAGTTTGTTGTTTAAAACATAAGCTGCGTTCAAATACCTATACTATCATACTATATAGTGTGCCAGAAAATACTTAGTATGTTCAAATAAACAGTATTTCAAATGTAGTATACCAAAAACACCAGGATGTTCTACTACATTATGTCATTTATGTTGCAATGCAAACAGATAACGGCTCATTTTGCATCACAGACGAGGACAATGAAAGCTTAAGGTGCGATAATACAATGACGTAGTAATGAGACAACATGTACTTTGTGTAGCAGCTGCAGTATGAGCTTAATGTAAAAATATAAAGTATGAGATTTGAACCATTTTTTTAAAAACGTGACCAGAAACAATCCACTTTCATGTTTTAAATTGCGGCTAACTGTCGTGTAAAATCCGGTGTTCGCCGCCGTTACCTTGATCCCCTCGATGACGGGCGCCGCGTCGATCAGAGTCTCCGAATGAGCCGCCGCGTCGGCTTTGGACATCGCCGGCTCGGCCTTCACCCTCACAGCCTCCAGCTCCAGCTCGCCCTCCTGCAGAGGACAGCGACAACTGATCAGCCACGATTCAAACATTATAGCAGCCAGTAAGAGGACTATGTGGTGGGATTCTGACATTAAGCAAATGACAAAACTGGGAAATATGATGTTTAAATCAGACTTATCCACATATAAATGATAAAACTAGTTTGCTACCTCGCCTGCAATTCTAACTAATTCACTAACATTACTTTGCGCTACTTATTTATATTTTTTATATTTCTGTAAATATCTGTCCACAAAACCTATTTATATTGTCAAATTCTGTACATACCACTTTGTGTACATGCTACGGTTTGTGTCAAACTTAAACTTAGCGAACAAAAGTCAGTTTTCAAAGACACCTCCTGGTCCTCTTTTGGCAGTAGTCTCATTAAATTTGGTTCTAAACACTAAAAAATCTTTACCCTGGCAGCTTTCTCTACAGCGTCGGCCAACCTCTCCAGCTCCCGATCCTTGTTGTCCTGGCGTATGGCCGCTTCCTCCTGCAGCGTCGTCTCCAGTTTGGTCTTGTTGTCCACTTTGGAGAGCTCCATCTCCGACATCATCAACTGGGCTTCTTTGGTCTGGAGAGGAGAGAGAGAAAAAGCAAGCAGTCAGCCATCCCAGCGAAACCCGAGTAAACCCGAAGCTGCTCTCTTCGTTCTGCCCCCGTCTCGTGATCGTACCATGACTTCGGGAAGCGTCTGCAGTGTTGTTTTCAGCTGGTCGGCGGGAGACAGGGTGTCGGGGAGGTACATGGCTCGAGACAGGAGAAGCAGAGAGGTGGGGATCTGCTGGTTCAGGTGCAGCTCCAACCACTGCAAGAGTCAAACATAACAAAAGAAACGCACGATTTAACAGATGCAACATCAAGTATCCTTCATAAAATAACTGTCGGATTCAAGTAGTGACAGTAGTTACTGAATTTTTGTCAAGTGACTGTTGGTCTTAGCTGAGTCACTTAGAGCTTTGCGGTTGCATCAAGGAGCAGAGAATTTTTTGTTTTCACAGGATCTGGTGCAAATGGTTTATTTTTGTGGATTTTTTTAATTTTTAAATGAGACTCGTAGAATATATTGTGTCAAAATATTAGAATTTTAAGCTTAGATTAGTTCAAGGATGTTTGGAAAGTTAGAAATCAGACAATTCTTTCTGTTTTTTGCAGTTTCCGACTCTGATAAATGCTGTAAAATTATAAACAAACCAGTCGGCGTGTTTCAGGGGGAAATATTTTAAAAATACATTTCAGATTTCAACCCCGTATTGCTGTTCTTCAGCGTAAATTCAAGTTTTGCTTCTTTACAAATAAAACCATAATCAGCAAGAAAAGTCTGAAAGAAAAAAAAAACTGAGAGGAAATATTAAAAATTATTAAAAAGTCTATTAAACATGTGTGAATCAAAAAGTAGAGGATGAACAGGAGAATTTCAGGCATTGAAACTGAGATAATCAGCTGCACATCTTTTGTCATCGTTACCTGGACGAGCTGCTCTCTCAGCCTGTCCTCCGTGACTCCCAGAGATCTCATCCCTCTGACGCGACACGCCGCCTGAACTTCATTCACGTTCAGGCTCTCCACTCCCTCCTCCGCTATCAGCTGCACAAACAGAGCACAGAGGTCACGCAGAGCTCCTCATCGTCACCTAAATTCTATTTTCATTGAGGCCAAACAGGTAAAATGGTTATAGAGACAGGAAAATTACAAGTTTTGTTAAGCTTGACGTGAGTTATTCGTACCTTGTCGTCAGCACGTATGGCCCTCAGCTTCATGATGAGCTGGAAGCGGAGGAAGTTGTTGGTGCCGATGGACTGGAGCTCCAGCAGGCGGCAGAGCGCCACCAGCTGAGGTCGGGTCAGGTTGTCCAGAGTGAGCTCGTCCTCGAACAGCTTGGAGAACTTGATGATCTGCTCGTTGCTGGGACGCTCCCCAGAGTCCCGGATCTAAAGCAACGTAGAAGTTATTATTATTAGAATTATTTCTTAAAAACAATCTGATCTATATCAACCCTCAGAACTCAAAGCAGCTTCTTTTTTTGCTCCTGTCATGCTTTTTCTTACGAGACAAAGTGATTTTCATACTTGATCGCTTCAAAGACAGTTGGAAAATGAAAGATTTGACTGTTCTTTTCAGTTTTACAGTTTTAAGTTTGGATAAATGGTGTAAATTTGTTGTTTTTTGGGTATTTTTTAAAAAGAATAACTTGTCTTTCAAACCCACTTGCAAGTTTGGGTTTCAAACCAAATGAAAAAAAAAATTCAGATTTACATACATTTTAGACAGCATTCCATTGATTTGCCCTTCATCGCTACTTTTCTGTGTGAATTAAAGCTTTGGAATAACATGTGTCTTTACAAATGAATACATATTTAGCAAGAAGACTGAGTGAGAAAAAAATGCCGAAAAAAAAAACACTTCATTTGCATATCATGGTTTCAAAAAAGCCTTAAAAAAAAACTTAAGGGACTGTAGATACATCAATCCAGACACACAGACCTTTTCCTATTTTCACCACCAGAGAGCAACACTGAGCCTGTTTTCCTTCATTTCATGCTGATTGCTGCCCATTGACACCAACACCAACCTTTTGGAAGAAGGTGGAAAACTCCTCGGTCACGTTTCCTTGTGCGACTTTGTTCCTCAGCGCGATCTCCTCGATGGTGTCCTGCAAGAACTTGGCCATCTCCAGTTTGACCCTCAGCTCCTTTTTCAACCTCTCCTCCTAACAAAACACAAACAGAATTCAGTGTGGCACGCAAAGCGGCTCTTTGTTTTTTTAAATAAAAGTGCTAAATGACATTTTGTGGAGTCTTCCGTCTTCCAATCTAGTGGATACATTTTAAATTGCATCCACAAAATTAGATAAACTGATTGTCTAAATTGATTTCACAAGGCTTCAGTCCGATTACCTTCTTTGACTGTGTCTCGAAGGTGGACGGCAGCATGTTGGGGAAGAGCTTCAGAGCTACAGGAAGCAGGAACTCCATGAAGGGAACGATGATGAAGACGAGGAAGGGAAGAAGTCTGAAGACGTCCGCACACGTTCTGAGAAACTGGGGGAGAATATTGCACTAGGTTAAATTCTGCAGAGGAATATGTGCACTTGACTCACTTCTGTTTGGATTTTAAAGAGTAAAAATTGGCTTTTAATATCATCTATCACTGCAGCCAGCACATTTAGCAGGTTGTAGTTCGTGCAAACCTCCAGCAGAGAGCAGCAGCGAGGGGGACTATAGGAAAAGGCCACCACCAATACTGAAAATGTTTACCCCTTCTTCCTTTGTCTCTTGGTACAATCGCCCCGCTCAGTGGCTCTAATAAGAGTTCCAGCAGTCAGCACTTTCCACCCGGTGCCCATACATCCCCGGAGCTAATTCATTGGCACATTATCTGCGGACCAAAGTGAACATTCTGCCTCACAAGGCTCAAAAACTGTGATCCAACAGGAAGCACATTTGTTCAGCTCGGACCTGAACAATCCTCGGAGCACAGAAGCGCCGGGCCAGCGCTGGTCATTGTACAGCTGTCCGACTGTGGCTTTTTGACCGTCCGGAGGGGGAACACAATCCCAACCGGGAGCAGCTCAGAAGGGGAGAAGGCCAAAAACACGAGTCCTTCTTTCTCCAGCCGTCCCACCTGCATGTCAGCGGGCCAGTAGGGTGAAGGATTTAGGCCGGACGCAGTGAAAAGGCCTTTGTCCGGCGGCCCATTGACATGTATATCATCTCCCAGAGCTCCACATCAAAAGAGGGGGAGGAGGGGGGGCTGACAGATGTAGAAAGAAGGAGCCTTAAACGGAGGCCTGAGTATTGTAAGTGAATATGAAAGGGGGAGATTAAGAAAGGCAAAGCCAGCGCAGGTTAGATGAATGGGCCGTGGATGGGCTCAGGACATGCACTCCGAGGGAGGCTCGCTGCATTTGAAAAGGTGCAGATGGGGTCACGGTGTGGCTTCGACGGGGGGAAACGTGGTCATCGTCGGCCTGAGCTGCAGTTTAGGGACGTAGAGCATGGTGTATGTCAGTATGTGTACTGCAGGGCTCTAAAATGATTACGTTATACTGAATTTTAAATATTTTGCACATTTAAAAGCTGAATCTGTGTAATATTAATACTTCTATCAGTATTTCTACTCCTGACAGATTACATGCAACTCCATTAGTGTGTGCAAAGAATCTGAAATATGCATATTTTTGGTTTATTTTGTATTAATGTTTGCACTATATTTCCCCACTGAGGGATTCCTAAAAGCTTATCGTATCTTATCATGTTATCTATCTAGCGGTGCACATAAAAAAAGCTCTCGTTCAACCAAATTCTCATTTTTGGGACAAATCGCTGAAGCTACTTTCATGAGCAGTTTTTGTGCAGCGGGATTTCAGGATTAATATCTAACTTTTGGTGGCAACCTGCCAAAAACACAACATTTTCTCAACTCCGAAAGGAGACAGCTGGGTTTCATTTAGACTATTTAATATTTAATCAGAGTCAAACTGACTGACACAGTTTTTTTTTTTTTAATTTTCATTTTTTACAATTTCAAACTCAACATCTACCTTTTTAGTCAGGCTTTTGATTGATTTGGTCAATTTTAATAATGTATTACTCCTTTAGAAATAATTTGAGTCATTGATTTCTCCATTTATGCACTTATTTGCATATTTTAGCCTGTTAAATGTATCGTTTATTACTTAGTTATTTGATTATGTGCATATGTTTTATTGCATTTTTACTTCTTCATCTGTAAAGCACTGGTGTTACATTTAAATTAGCATGAAAAATGATGTATGAAAAAGTTTTTGGTTTAAACAAATGGATCAAAAGTGGAGTTTAAAGTTTGCAAACAGCAGTTTTAGCACCATAGCTTAACAGCCAACATGTCTGCGTTATATAATAGTTCTTCTGCTATCATCATCAGTTGACAAATTGTCAAAAATCACATGAATTTGTGCAGGTGCTCGCTGGAGTACGCTCTCGTCATTTCAGTATAAAACAACCAGGTTTTAATGATTCAGTATGCTGCAACTTCAAACTTTCTATGTTTAGAACTGAATTAGGCCAGTAAGGCGAGCAGGTAGAGTAGACCTAATGCACCGTGGCCCTTTACGTTCATCTGGAGCTAATGTGTTGATCCTTTTAAACCACGCAACCAATCAATCAGTTGAAGATCCGACTCCAGCCGACGGCTGCAGCTCCAACGCGTGCAGGTAGCAGAGACAGTTCAGCTCGTCGCTTTATTAGTTCTGCAGGACAGGTTGCGCCACCTCTTCGCAAAGTATGAAAGGTCTCATTGTTCTTGTGCGCCGGCATGAATTGTGAAACTTCCGTGTCTGCACTGAGTTGTGCAAGTGTAACTCCTGCACCTTCCTCCACGTTGCTGCAGCGCACCTTTGCATCAAATAATCATTCGAAATTTAGTGTCTCAATCCACGTGAAGTCAAATGCAGTTCGGCAAAAATACCAGGATGTCCTACTAAGTCTGGACGCAGTTTGCAGTATGTAAGTGAGCATGAGAGAACATGAACAGGTGGTTTCAACTGCGACGGATAAATGAGCAAAACGGTAAAAGGCACAATATTATGATGTAGCATTGGGGATCTACCGATATTATTTTTAGTTAATTTTTTTGGACTGATGCCATTTATTGGTCATCAAGAACAGCCGATTAATGCTTTTTTGGAACAATTATACATTAAATTCAATGTTTTAACAGCATGTGATAGCAGAGAACCTGTCATTCATAAGTAGGCTTCCTCATTAATAAGGGTCACTATGACCGAATATGCAAAATGGAAATAGCTGTGATTAAATTAGGATGCTCTCCTCTGTTTACGATTGAGATTCATCAGTTTGTCTTCTGCTGTTCTGCTCTATTTTCCTAATATTTTGCAGCTTTACCACTTTTATTGTCAACTAAGGTCCATATCTTAAAGCTTTATTCATTATTGTTTTCCAGACTCCTAACTTCTAACATAGTAGCTAGCCATTAGCATAGCCGTTAGCCACCATGAGAGTGGCTAATGTCCCGATTTGTGATGTTTCTTGTTCAGTTTTTGCTTGAGAGACATTTGTGAGACCGCAGAGTGACTAAAGACAAACAGAGGAGGCTGCACTTGACTCGTCGATAATCGGAAAATTGCCAATTATTGGCCATGACAGTCAGTCCGACCCTACGTGGCCTGCTCCAAATGTGTGCATGAAACTTTGGGCAGCTATAGCAGAAGGAAAAAGGAATAAGTGTGCAACTTTGAACTCAGAGACAGTTTTGTCAGTATTTGTTGAATTTTTTGGGGCCACTGTGGCGCAATTTAACAAAAACAGATCACTTTACAAAATCACATAAGTGAGTACGGTATGAAAAAACGTACTCCTTATTCTTAAGAATCCTTTTCATCATCTGAGATTAACAAGAAACTCACAACAGATCTTTTTTTAAACCTGACTTTAGCTCGTTAAAAAGCAAAAGCACTCTGTGAATCAACCCCAACGTGGACTGAATATATCGCACCCTTAAGAGGAGCAACTTGCCAATCATGTTATCTAAATCTGTACCGCCCTGTACGACGCAGGGACCGCGGTAAGAGTTGCCGTGACCGGAGCTGACCCGCTCACCTTCCCTGAAATGACACCTGTTTGCAGCACCTTCATCAGATTACAGCAGTGGGCTTCGGTCCAGACAGGCGCTCTGAACGTCAGACGACAAGCTGCCACGAATTCAGGAGTTGCAGAAGAAACACGAGCAAGAGTCCACTTGCATAATCAATCTTTCTTTCTGTTTCCTCGGTAGCTGAGCTAAAATTTCATTAAACTCGCATTAAATCTTCTGTAATGACAATATAAAGTAAAAATAAATTGAGTTAGTGTTTGCCATTTGCCACATCTTATTAGAGCAAGTTAGCAGCTGAAGTAAGTGAATTTGTGCTTTCCTTTTCTTTCTCCAGTCTTTGTTGTGGAGGCCTCAACCACCGGAGAAATTTGCGTAACGGCAAACGAGGTGTCTTCTGATCACAGCTTCGACACACATAAAGCTTCATCCTAAAGAGCTTTAATCGAGCGCCGCAATCCGCCGAGCGTCTGGTGAGCAAAACACTCGGTGTGCAGCCAGTTTCCATAATTGATCCCATTAGGTCCGAGAGGCCGTGGATTAAACATTATAGAACAAGATGTCTGCGACGCGAGACTCGAAACCTCACTCGGTCATCCCCGCTCTCTAAATTCTCTGGCATTATCCGCCGTGTAAACTCTGAGTCACGCTGGAAAAATGGTCTCCTTTCGATGGAAACAGTGGCAGACGCTTAGTCAAACATAAGTTGAGCAAAGATGGGAACAGACTTTTGAAGGGTTTCTGCTGGAAGAGTGCAGATGATTCACAGAGGGACTGAAAATGTACCAGTCAATTACAGAGAGTGTAAAGGAAATTCATAGATTTGTCTCTAAAATAGCCTTCCGAACCCCAAAATCTACTTGTGGGTTTAAAAGCCATGTTATCTTTTTTAAAAATTGCAAAAATTATACCATTTATCAGAGCAAGAAACTGAAAGTGACAGCTCTAAGTGACTGTGAAAACGTAACCATATCAAAGCTTAAAATCGTGATTTTTCATCAAAATCCTTTTATTCTACATGTCTAAAAAATTGCCCAAAATAAACGGCTTGTTCTAACCAGATTCTGTAAATAAGAAAAATTTGACGGCGCTCAGCATAACTGTGAAGCTTTTAGTGACCGTCATGCGACCGAGAGTCACGTGACAAAAATTGAGGAACTTTTTAGGCTGCACTCAGCTGAACGGCAGGCAGCGTTTAAACAGAGCCAGTAGGAGACGTAGAAGTATGGAAGTATGAATATTCTTTCTCGTTCTTTTAGGCTGCTCTGATTCTGGTGTACATTAATGCAATCAGATTTTAATATTCACCCCTTTTTTGTAGCCAAACTCACTTTGACTGAGCACTTTAATTTTCAAAGGTGTCCGACCTCTAATAAAACAATCAAGGACCATTTGCTTTAAATGAGAGGCCAACAGAGATCACAAAGATGTGGTAGATGCATGAGATTGCATTACAAGCAAAGCAATTCCTTGAGTAAAGTGACTAAAAACATGATTTTAACACCATTTAGCCTCCAGAGAAAATGCCTACGCGCTGCGGTATATCAACATCTCCGTCCACGCTCACCTGTCTCCTCTCCCGCCGAGACAGAGCGTTCCCGTTCAGCACCCTCCACAGCATTCGGCCCGCGATGGTGGTGTCGATCCACAGCAGCCTGAAGCCGTGGTAGTAGTGTTTGATCTCGTCCAACACTCGCTGCCGCAGCGTCCTTCTGACGGGTTCGGCGTCCAGCGTCGGGCTGTACACCGGCCCGCCTTCCTCCAGCTTCTTCTTCTTGTCCTTCAGGACACGCAGCGACTTCTCCACCTTCGAGTCGTCCCACCTCCGCCCCGAGGTGTGGATCCACCGGACGCCGGCGATGTCCTGCGGTCGCGCTATCGTCCACGGGGAGCCCGATGTGAACGCAGGGTACGGCGAGGAAGAGGAGGAGGAGGATCCCAAAACGAAAGCGCAGTAGAGCCGCTGAGGGTCCGAGGTCTGAGACACGTGATCATCTGACAGGGGGAGGGAAGGACCGAACGAGGAGACCTGGCACAAGTTGCCGAGTCGGAGACCATCGGGTCTAAGGAGGCAAAAGACAACAAACTTTAGGGAACAATTTTAAAAAAACCACCATTGTCAAATAACGAGCAAATAGTAGGAGCAGCACCTTACTGCACAGCGTCCACTCTGAGGCTAGTTTTTCATGCATATGTTACATTTTTCAGATTTTCCGCCACATTGACGTTCACACTGAATAAATTACATTTAAATATGGATTAAATAGGATTCCCAGACACATAAAACAACAAACGTATTACCTGTGCAAGTGAATTTAGTCCTAAAATGTTCTGCATATTATGTGAAGTCATTCCATCGCAAATCACAACATTTTTGGAATAATTTCTGCTCTATCATCTCTGATTTGTCTGAACTTTTTGTTGCATAAAATATGGATATTTACAAAGATAAATGTTAAATTGTAGCTTGATGTATCAAATACTTTTCAAGATTTTTACTTTATTTTATTTTACTTTCAACAGGTTTTTCTCAACACATTGAAATCTGAAGCTATGTTTGAATATCAATATCTCGGGAACTATTAAATATAAAAACTTGCAAGTTTTATATTAGTGGGACATGCAGCTACATGTAATTCAGAAAATATCTCCTAAATTTTTAAAAATAAAAGCCTCGGATCAGGCTATTCAGCTATATTTTAGTTTCTGTGGTACAATTTGTCATACCTGATTCTTGCAACGCAAATAACTTTCATTTTTATGACCAAGTATTTCCTTTAGAAAGCATTTTACATATTCTGATTTATATCATTGTGACATGCAGCTACATTTAGTTCAGAATAAAACACTAGTTAACTTCTGCATCATCATTTTTTTGGTTAATTTGTGCTCAAAGATGACACTTTTCATGACGGCTTATATTATTTTAATCATAATCAAAGATTATCTGATCTATTTGGTCAATATTACAGATTCTGAATCAATGACAGAATGAGAAATAACAGCTAAAATTTCAGGTTTTTATCTTTAATAGTTTCTGAAATGTTGTTGTTTAAACGGCCCCACATTTCAATGTGTGAAAAAAGGTGCTAAAAGTGGTGGACAGGATTCTTTTTTTATTATTATTATTATTATATCTTGCAAAGTACTTGATTTATGAAGCTGAAATTTCACAAATATCTTTAAAAATATCCATGAAATTTTCACAGTTATTTCTCATCATGTCATTGATTCAGAATCTGCTAAGTCCCATCTTTGAGCTCATATTAACAAAAACTTAATATGCATGTCACAATATTACAAAACGAAACATATAGAGCACTTTTTTAATATGAAATACTTGGTCACAGAAACAAAAAAAAAGGTATTTTTGTTGAACTGACTGAACGACAAGCTGTGCCACAAAAACAAAGAATTTTGCTAGAAAGTCTAATCCAGGGCTTTTATTTTGAAATAGTTCCTGGGATATTATCATTTAAACATAGCATCAGGTTAAAAAAAAAGTGCTGAAAGTGGGTTGGAAATCCAGAAAGAAGGCCTCTGATGACTTAAGGTGGAATAAACCGGAGTTATTTTCTAATATTTTCATGAAACTTCACGTCTTATTATCTTACTTTTGACTGGAGAGTCTGAGGGTTGTGCAGTTGAAACAGGATCCTTCCTTTAGTTTTCCTGTAAGAACAAAACAAAAAAAAAAACACACATGAGCAGCTGTGTTCTGAAAATAAGACATATGATAAGCAGAGCCACAGACACACCCACGCACATATTGTATTCACAGAGTTCATGAACTTCTGCTGACGAACAAATGACAAATCACACATCAGCAGCTTTCTGTCCGATGCACTTTCATCATGTGCTCACACCAGTTCAAGCATGCAGCGCCTGTGACTGGTTATGCAATTACATAACGGCAAGAGAAATCACTCCTGGTGTCTTATGCAATCATCTACAGGAGCCTAACAGACGTCTGTTGATCTTGGGCTGTCCTTTATGTTATATTTTTGGAGGGGGGCTTCGCTCATTCTTGCCTCACAAGATCAGCTGAGCTCAGGAAATGTGCAAAAATACACTTTAAAGACAGATTTTGCAAAAAATATGCTCTCTTGTTTGACATTTGTTGCCAAAACCAGCTTCATAGATGATTTTTACGACTTATTACTTTTTAAAAACCTTATGTTACACATGTTGTCCACAAGGAGCTCTGCTAATGAGTATTATTTCTCCTAATGTGCATAAAAAAACACTTTAAAGACAGATTTTGCAAAACGATATTCTGTCTTGTCAGCCATCTGCTGTCATAACCATGTGCAGAGATGATTTTTTACTACTTATTACTGTTTTAAAACCTTAAATGTTTACCTTTAAAGAAAAATTTTGCAAAAAAAACAGTCTCTCTTGTTTGACATTTGCTGCCAAAACCAGCGTCACAGATGATTTTTTACAACTTATTACTGTTTTAAAACCTTAAATGTTCCACATTCGTCCATAAGTAGCTCTGCTAACCAGCATTACTTCTCCTGATATAAACACTTTAAAGAGAGATTTTGCCAGAAAAAATATATTGTTTGCCATTTGTAGCCAAATCCAGTGTCACAGATGACCTTTTTTTTTTTTACAACTTTTTACTGTTTTAAAACCTTATGTTTGACATTTCGTCTGTAAGGAGATCTGCTGAAGAGTGTTATTTTTTGAGATCTGCAATAAAAACACTTTAAAGACAGATTTTGCCAAAAAATATGCTCTTTTGTTTGAGATTTGTTGCATAAACCAGCATCACAGATGATTTTTACGACTTATTACTTATTTGAAACCTTATATGTTCCACATTTATCTACAAGGAGTTCGGATAACCAGCATTAATTCTCCTAATATGCATAAAAAAAACACTTTAAAGACAGATTTTGCAAGAAGATATTCTCTCTGGTTGCCATCTGTTGCCATAGCCATGTGCAGAGATGATTTTTACGACTTATTTTTGCTTTAAAACCTTGTATGTTCCACATTTTGCTCTGCTGAGGAGTGCTATTCCTCTGCTAATATCTTCACAGTGATCTCCGTTGGTGGTCAGGATATTCACACCCACTCTGAGGCCCACAGTGGGGCTCCCACACTCACATGCCTCAAGAAGGTGGAGTGGGGAGACACTTCTAACCAATCAGATCGGGGCGGACGGCTGAGGCCCCGCCCCCCCCCTCTGTGGCACTCACATGGCCGGCTGGAGAGAATCCAGCAAGGCCCGGCTGAACACGACAAACTGTGGCTGGAGGCCAGGAGGACACAGAGTTTACTGGAACAGGATCACCTCTGTGGCCGGCGCACAAAGAAAACCCTGGAAATACAGTAGATCACCGCACTGGGCTGAAAATACAGTCGGCCTCAGTGTTTCCTCTGTGTTTCAGCTTCACATTCGTCCCTCTGTCAGTCACATTACATTTATAATCTTCAAATTCTGGCTGTATCATGTATTGATACGCTAGCGATGGTGTGTTTAGTGCATTTTTTGTCCACTTTTATGATGAATTACAACAGAAATACACTGTAAATACATCCATAAACGGTGAGAAAATAAACTTTTCTGACTAAACATGAGTTTCCTGAAGACAAAATCCACTCCACAGCCACATTACTAACATCCCAGGGCAGGTATTTCAGGTTGACAACACCAAGTCTCTAAATGAAAGGACAGACAGAGCTGATATTTCTAAGGTTTTATAGTTTCTGTTTCACATTCGTGCTTCTTTCAGTTTCAGATATGTCCCATTGTGGGTATACTTTTCTAATTCCAGCTTTCTTGCATCGTTACACTACACAGGGTGTGTTTAGCGCCTTTTTAGGCAACGTTTATGAAAAATTAGAACAGAAATACAGTTTAAATAAACCTAAAGTCGGGCCTCTTCAACACTCGCACAGCTTTCAAATGTGATTATATTCTAATTTTGCGTATTTCAAGCAGTTTACATTACATGCTATGGAAGCATGCACATCCTCAGGCGATTATTTTGCACATTCATGCACACTGGAAGTATCTCTATTACTTAATCCCTTGATTGCTCCTAATTTGTCTTAAAACACCTGACTGGCAACGCTTTGTTTAATCTGTAAAATGCCAAGTTAAATTCCTTCAAGTCTACTTGGCAATAAAACCTTTCCGATTTTGACACAAACAGGCACAAATCGTGAGAAAATGAACTTTCTGAGTTTACTAAGACCTGAGTACAGACCAAATCCACTCTGCAGCCATCTTGGTAACATCTTCTGGCAGTTCTCAAAGATTAATCGCAGCAACTGGACTTGCTTGAGTTCCTTGAAGACGTTCCACCTCTCATCCAAGAGGCTTCATCAGTTCTGACTGACTAGTTGGTTTGAGAGAGGGCTGAAAGAAGCCATCTATGTCAAACTGGAAAGACCATCCATCACCAGAGGTGGAGGTCTGAGGCATCACCTCTCACCTTTTTACAATTCAGTCCTAAGATCTCTCCTCAGGAAGATGAAACCACATCCACACCTAGTGAACCCCATTGTGTCAGGGGGGAGCACTAATGACTCGCATAACGAGGGGGGGGAGCAACAAACCCCCAGTTAAAACCAAAATTCAGTTGTTAATGGCTCCTTAAGGATGAAAGTATCTGGAACTGCCAACTAGTCAGTCAGAGCTGATGAAGCCTCTTGGATGAGAGGTGGAACGTCTCCAGCAACGTCCAGTTTCTACGCTTAAACTGTGAGAATAACCGTGACCTGGATGACTGAGAATCTTCATAGACATCTTCAGGCACTTACTTTGGGCTAACAAGACTGGATACCTGTCTAAATGAACATGAGACAGAACCAAAACTGGAATTTTAATGGATGTTAAGACATAAAATAGAACCAGCAGTTGTTGTTTTGGCGACTTTGCCCCCAAAATAAAGTTTAAAAGTGTTTTATTCCTCTACTTTGCGTGCATTTATAAATAAATCCCAACACTGTGATAGAGTTTCCACTAATCAGTATATAAAAAAACAGAAAAAAGCAGTGGAGCTACAGTGTATGTATGACGTTTCTACAGTTTTCTGTTTAAACACTCAGACACTCCCTAAAGTGACAAAGCGCTTTGTCTTCCACATCGTGTAGTCTTTCATAATGAGGACACTAAATCTTGCAGCCTTTTTATGCTCTTCCTTACGTGTCTTTTCTCAGGTTATACGGCTTTCAGATGCCAAGCCACAGTACGCTAAAGAATCAGTCATGCAAGCAAAAGTGAAATTCAACTTTTGTGATGAAACATGTGGTTAGAGTTTTCTAAACCCTGATTAAAAAATACAAAGTTCAGCCATCTTGGTGACGCTTCTATTGCTGGATTCTTTTGCACGCAGACACTCCCTAAAGTAGTGTAGTATTTCAGAATGGCAATACACTTACAGATCTTTGTTTTATTTCGTTTTTTTATACGACTACTTTCACTGCTGTTTCTGTGCTTACATGGCTGTAGTTCGACAGGCCGCAGCACGCAAAAAAAATCAGTCAATCAACAAAAAGTGAAACTGTTTAATCCTTGAAATGAGTCCAATAAGCCAAAAGCTTAAGTGTGAGATTTAACTTTTTGTGACTAAACATGAATCAGCAGTGTTTCCCAAAACCAGACTAAAAAAGAAGTCCACCCAGCAGCCATCTTGGTGACATCCTCAGGTAGTTATGTCATACTAATAAGACCAGGAATCAATCCAAGTGAGACATGAGACATTAAATAGAATCATAAGTCAGATATGATTAAAAGGTTTGGTGACTTTTCCTCTAAAAATAAGGTTTAAAAGGCGTTTTTTCCCCTGCAGGTTAAACTTCTAATACACATGCATTCATACATGAATTACAACATTTTAGACACTAAAATTAGTTCCCCAAAATCAGCATGGAAATAAAACGTGGCATTCAACCGCTAAGAGAATCTCCCACAGATTTCTATTCAGGATTTAAGCGGTCAGTTTGTCCCTCATAACATCTCCACGAAGAAAAAATGTGTGGCAAAGTTAAGAAATAAACCAAATGGGAGCCAAACAGTCCAGATGAGAAAATCATTTTTAAGTTTCTGTCTGTCTGGAACCCAAGAATACTCAGGTTAATTATTAACAGTGATTTGCTTCTGTCAGTTGAACTCTCTGAACCTGCCTCTGACTTTTGATATAATGAGATAAAGTTCACACTGTTTGTAATTAGGGCTGCAACTTAAGATTTTTTTGATTAATCAATTAAAAAGAAGCATTTATCGTGATATTTAAAGTGCCATACTGGTGCTTTTATACATTTTGCAGCTCATTTTTCCTTCTTTTCATTTCATTTTACCAATCAGAGCCGCAAAAGGTTCATGGATCCATCGAAAACTCTTTTGATATTTGATAAACAAACAATGAAAAGTGGTTCTTCAAGCAAACAGTTGTTAGTTCATGGCCTTACAATACGAGAAAATGCTGCTTTTACTCGTCCTACCTCACATAACTTTGACATTTCCTGACTCTGTGGGAGACATTTCTTCCTTTTTTTTGATCAAATAATTATTACATCCATTGTCAACTAATCTGTTGATCATTTTCTCAATTGATCAATTAGTTCATTCATTCATAAACAAGATAAAGCTGTGTTTTGAACAAGCAGTTAATGGTTCCAGCTTTAAAATGTCAGAAAATACTCACACTACGTTGACATTTTATGACACTACTTCCTTTTTTTTAAACAAATAATGATTTTTTTTAATGTCAACTAATGTGTCGACTACTTGTTTTGTATATTAAACATCAGAAAATGTGAAAAAAGACTGATAAAAGCCCAAGATTACATCTTCAAGTGTCTTGTTTTTGTGCACAACTCGAAAGATATTCAGATTGCTGTCATGGAAGAGGAAAGAAACCAGAAAATAAAAACTGTTGTCTTTCTCTACTTCATTTAATCATTGAAAGCTAGTTGATTAACTATTGCAGCTCCACTTATAATGCAACACTTGTCTGGATCCCTGCTGACTCTTAAAGCACAACTGTTGCACTTGTAAAGCTTCTTTTGACTTTTTCTGCAGCACTGATTTGGCCTCGACCCAAACCGAATTAGATCTTTCCACAGACGGAGGTGAGTGAATCACATCTTGCCCTCCGGGGCAACGCCTGCTTGACTTGTACCTGCAGCCGCGGTGGCCTCGGCCTGCAGCTGTCTGCCTGTAAAGTGCTAAAACTGTGGTGTAATTACAGGACTCGTCCTCGTTCACCGTGTGAGCAGTTTAACGCCAAACAGAGGACTGAGGCCAAATCTTTGAACCGCTCTTTTTGTACTTTCTGTTTTGCACTTTAACAATCCGAACATGAAGCTACTACCTGGATATCTAACAGTATATTTAATATAATTTATCCTATCATAAATGTGAGTTAACAGGGCTGTATTGGTTCATGACAGAAATCTCCTTTTGTTTTAAATCCAAAAAGTTTACATCACTGCATCTACTGCGAATTCTCTTGTTTAGATCCGCGCTGACGACATGTAAACAAAGACAGAGAAGTGACATGAATTCAAAATAACCTTTGTTTACTGGGCAGCGGGATGGTAAACTAAATTCCAGGCTGCAGCTCATCTGGGAATCTTTGGCGCTCTAAGTATGGGGGCTCTTGTTGTCGGGCGTCTCCTTTCACAGGAGTCATAAAATCTGACGTTTCTGGGTCAGTTTCATTCAGTCAACACTCTTGGCTGCACTGAAAACAGGAGCAGAGACAACTGAGACTCACATTTTCAGTTCTGTCAGTGCACCTCTGTAATTTAAACTCAGCAAATTGAGTTTAAATAACAATGATCTTATAAACCACATAAAATGAAAAAAAAATAAATAAAAGCAGCCTAAAATAAATAAACACACCGCTGCATGTAGGTGTAGCAGACCAGTACGCCAAAGCACATGTACCAGCTGAAACTTTCTCCTGTAGTACACCGGAGCCGCATTACATAATGCTCTAATCTTTACCACCGCTGATGACAGTTAGACGTCTACTTTGCAAAGACGACAAACTGGTCAATGTTCAGCTGTCAGAGCAGAACCGAAGCTCAACAAGAAGCCACGATTACTGTGAACTTCAAGCTTCAGTTTCCTGCTTTATCTTCATTTATTCATTCGTTTGTTTATTGATAATCACCCAGAACACTTTCAGGAATATGCAAAGAAGATTTCATTACCGGGAAGCAACTGCGTCTGCCAAACTACAGGAACTCAACTCCAGGAACCAAGCGTGTCCCAGGTGGAGTTATAAAAGGCAGTGACCTTTCCTCATGGAAGCCCTGCAATTTGTCTGATAATCTGGGCCCAAAGCCAACAGCACAGTCTCAGTCCGTCCACTGCAGACAGGCAAATCCCCATTATGACCCTCTCATCTATTTATAAGAGCAGCCTGGATGCATTGAGGAAACACATCAAGCTAACCGCACACATAAAAGGTTTCTCCTGTAGCATAAGCCTCTGATGCTATTCGCCGTCCGCTGTGAGACTCCTATTAATCACGTTTATATCTGCACTGGCTATACAACAGCTATGTTAAAAGGGTTATTAAACACATGCAGTGATATGAAACTACTGAGTGAAGCCACATTCACTTTGACTGAAGTCCGGTTCATGAGAAGTCAGTGGGCAGATAAATGTAAGAATATGATCCATTTAAAAAAAGGTGGACACGTGAATAAAATCGATGATGTCTAGCTGAGTGTTTAGGCAGTGCTATGATGCCTGTTAGTCATGCAAGTGACTGATGCATGAAGCTAAAATATAACTTTACACCGTGATGCTGAGAATTATCTGTTAATCATCGCACAGGATTAAAAAACTGACAGCCACTGATGCAAAAAGCTTATAAAAGAGCAATGTTGCGTAATTCTTAGAAGCATTCGCTACAAGGATTTTACACATCAAAAAATATTAACAAGGTATAAACAGTAAGGCAAAATATCCCATAATGAACATGTATATGCCACAGCAGGCTGCAACTAATGTTTATTTTCACTAGAGATTATTAAGCATGTATTAAGCGTCAGATAAGGCTGGAAAACGTTGATGAGTGTTTCCCAAAGCAGTAAATTACAACCTCCCATGTCTTGTTTTGTCCACAAACACAAATATATTCAGTTTACTGTCAGTGAAGAGTAAATAAATAGAATATATTACAATTACAGAAGCTGGAATCAGAGGATTTGGGCTTTCTTTTTCTTAAAATATTACTCAAAACGGTTAATTTATGATAAAAAGGGTTGACAATTAGTTTAATAGTTAATCTAATGCTCATTTTGATAATAATAAATTAAAATGACACCAAACATTTTCTGCTTTAACAACAGAAAAAGTTGGTTATTTTCTATGTCATATTATGAGTTAAGTAATTACTTGGGTGCATGAAGTTACCTTTTCAAATGTTTTCATCCCTGCTCATGAGAGAAAAGGTAATAAATCTGGTATTTTTGACTCACTTTACGTGAGAGTAAAGCTTTTGTTCATGCTCCAAGACCAAAAAAATGTGATAAAACTTGTGGGAAAAAAGTAGAATTAGACATGTTATTGATCTGTTGGTTGATCATTTAAAAAGGTGTGCAGAACAATTACAAGGCCTGAAGGATTTGTTATTTTAAAGTTCTGCTTCGGCTCACTATTCACTGTGTAATAGATGTAAAAGGTGGTGGAGCTTTTCCCCAAAAGACACCATTAACACTGTGACATAACAACAATGTTATGTGCTGCAGAACAAATAACCTAAATTGCAACCTTCGTTGTTTGCAAATTGCATTGTTTTCCAGCATTAATATCGACCCAAAATGCAAATCAAACGCTGTGGGCCGGCTTCCTGCAGTGTTTTACATTTACAACAATGCTACAATGTTATGACACAGTATTTGATGTGAAACAGCACAAAGATAAACTGTGCTATACTGTGACATTTGAATAAATTAACTAAAATCTGCATACCATAGAGGCAAAACACAGCTTTGTTCATGACTCGGTGCCTTCTATCTTGCTGTGTGAGGATATCTGGTGGATGCTGAATAATCAGGAGGGAGGCTGTGTGCCATAGCAACCAGCATCCTCTCAGACTGCAGCGAGGGGAGGGGGCGCTCTGCTCAGGTTGTCCTCAGATAACCTGAATCCTGTATTATGTTGCCCCACTCCATAATTCAATTCAGACAGTGGTGACAGCCTTTATTAGCCAACACAGCTTCAATACGGAGCAGTAGCTGGGAATTATCGGTAGTGTTTTCGAAATGTGATGCCCAGTTATCTGCTGTCACCTTGAGTCTTCCTGAAAACCGAAACAGACCTGCCTGTAAACACTCTTTACATGGATGCTAACATGCTAGCTGTTAGCCTCTGTTACTTCGCCATCGTAAACAGCGCGTTAAAGCAAGAAATAAGGCCAAATCACAGGTAACTTACCTTTGCGGAATTCGTTCTTTAGCGACCTAGAGGTTTTCATTAAAGGTGCCCTGGACCTCGTTAACAGGATTAACGCCATGCTTCGCCGAGTCAAGTCGCTCCCTTTTCTGACAGTTACAGTAAAAGTTACAGGGCTAGCTAAAGCGACTAAGCTAGCAGCTGTCTGGGTTTTCAAGAAGTGAGAACGAAAGCACCGCTAACTTGGTTCATAGAGGGCCAAACCGAAACCTTCCGACGCTTTAACGAGCTCAGACTGAAGTGCACGTCGGAAAATGTGGCTCCATGTTCTGCCCTTCCCCGTGACGCGCGGACGGACGGACAGCCCGGGAATGACGTCAAAACTGTTTGTGAGGGAATGTGCGGTCTGCGCATGTCAGGAAACAGGAACCGCCGGCGCGTTTATCAAATAAAAGCATCAAGAATAGAATCCGTTTGTTGGAAATGAAGATGAAGCAGCAGTCCTGTCGGTGCGCTCACACGGATCAGACATTTTTAAAAGTACAACAAGAAATGTGCAAATAAAAAACCTGGTACTACTTTGCAATGACTCAGTTTAACCAATTATTCTTGGCGTAATACAGCACCTATATACTCATTATTGTTATTATTTATTTTTTATTTATTTATTTCCCCCAAAAAACGTAAGTTTTTATACCCAAGTTGTAAATACTGCATCACATTTTCTGTATTTATTGTCTATACATACACAGGCTTTTTGTTTTGTGTGTCCTTTTTGCACTGTTACCCTGTTTTGTGTGTACAAGCCGGTACACAAAACATTTTGCTATTCACTGTGCCATGTACAACTGTGTAACGAATAAAGTTGATTCAATTTGATTTCTTCATTGTGAATATCACCAATTTGCACCTTATTGTAAATACTAATGATTTATATAAAGCACCCTATCTATCTACGAAAACAGTGGGAATGCTTATTTGATACATTAGGAATCATAAAAACAGTGATGTAACTGATGTTGCACTTGTAGTATAGAGGCTATTTGAAAACATCAATATGAGAGTTAAGAAATCACATAACCATATACCTTGGTTTCTTTCTGTTCTCATATATAATAAACTTTAATGAGCCCTATCTGTGGAAATTTACATATTATAGCAGCTAGATAAAGATGAGGTGTGGAGGAAGCAATTACAAAAGAACAACAAGATATGACCAGAGGTAGAGAACTGTGAATCGCTCCAGGAGAGATGTATTCAGAAATGCATACGGGTGTGTTTATGCACGTGCTTGAGTAAGCACACAGTGTATGCGTGCACACCTCTCGGACTATGACCTAGTGTGGTGCAGGCCTGTAAACGCGTTTGCTGATTGTGTTTGTTGAAGACATGTAACTCTTTACATATCTGTTTCATGAGACAGGTATGTAGCAGAGGTATGTGCATTTGCAAAACTTTCAAAAAGACTCCCGCACATGCAAAGTGTCTCACTTGAAAAAAATTTTTGCCAGGCCTTAATCTGGTTTTGTACATCGCAAAGCCATTTTAAGCAGGGAGTGGTTGCAACCAATCAACATACACCACATACAATAGGAAGGCCTGATGACAACTGTCAATAAAATACAGAATGCAAGAATCATAGACGTACTGTTTAATAGAGTGAGTAAAATCCAAGGCCAGAACCACATTCTTAAAAAAGCTGCACTTAGAGGCCACATATGTGGATGAACCTGCAGTTGCAATGAAAAAAATACACACAATACACACATTTAGCAAATAACTGTATTAATGAGAATAATAAATTCTCAGTATATATACAATATATAAATACAGTCAGCAATAGTGTATACATGTAGAAATTAACACAATCACCAGGTCATATTGGTAAAAGTGACTGATCTGGCACAGAAAAATCACCAATAAATGTATGTTTGCAAGTTAGATAGTGTGTGGGAGTATTTTTTAGACAATTTTTTTGTTGTTCTTCTTTTGTTTTTGTTATGTCTTGTTTTTTTTTTCTCTCCAAATGATTTGTCTGATGTATTAAACCATTCCTATGTCGCTGTCATTTTTCAGAGGGGATTGCTTCTGTCCTTGTTTGAGGCCAGAGAGAGGATTTTGGGGGTGATATTATTGTCTAAATAAAAAAAAAAACCTAAATCTGTAGCACTGTATCATCCGAATACGTACTTATTATGCATTCAAGTTAAGTTGAAAAAGAAAGAGGGTGGTGGTTTCTATTTTAAAGCTGGGAGTATTAGTCAGATTAACGCCTCTCAGCTTCTTTTGTTGGTACTGCAGGTTTAGCCTTTAATTTACTGTAAAGCTGCCATGTGCCCCAACCATGTTGGTGCTTCACGGCATTATCTGGCACTGATTAATAATTTGTCAAATGTTTTCTTTGACCACTTAGAACAATCAGAGGACACGTGTTGTAAATCAAAGAAGCAATGATGCTTTTGTTTGAGCTTTTCTGCTTATGAGAGGCTGTATTTTTCCAGTTAATTAAAGTCAATTCTTCTTCTTCTTCTTCTTCTTCTTCTTCTTCTTCTTATTATTATTATTATTATTATTATTATTATTATTATTAAGTAAATGTTCTCATATACATTGCACCTTGTCACACATAAAAGTTATTCAAAGCACTTTAACAGAAAAGATTAATAAAATTAAATAAAATACAGCAGGGTTTAATTAAATACAGGATAATAAAATATTTTGAATTCAAATAAAGCATTACATCCAAAATCAAGGACATATTCATATGAATCTGAAATATTGCACCAGGAAATTACATTTTGCAGATTCAATCAAAATATTGCACATGAAAGTGAAATATTGCAAAATAATAAAAACTGATATTGCAAAAATCATTGAGAAAGTAATATTGTACATGACATTGATATTATTATTTTTCAATGTTTTGGCTGTTTATCCTGCAGAAAGCAGATGACTTGTATAGTTTTTTATGAACACCCCAAAAAATACAGGGAACATTTCTTAAACATTCCCTTAAGGTTCCCCGATGGTTAGTTTTGCATCATTTTATTTTGAAAAAGGCCTCAGTTTGTTATGAACACCCCAAAAAATACAGGGAACATTTCTTAAACATTCCCTTAAGGTTCCCCGATGGTTAGTTTTTGTATAATTTTATTTAAATAAAGGTCACAGTTTGTGATAAACACCCCAAAAACATTAATCTTCAGAGAACATTCTTTCAACATTCCCTTAATATGCTCAGATGGCTATTTTTGGTATACTTTTTTTTGTTTGTTTTTTTTTTTTAAAGGTCACATTTTTTTTTTATAAACACAAAACAATAACCTTCGGGGAACATTCCCTTAAGATGCCCGGATGGTTAATTTCTGTATAATTTTATTTATTTATTTTTAAAAAAGTCACAATTTGTCATAAAAGCCCCAAAAAACAGCAACCTTCAGGGAACTTCTCATGAAACGTTCCCTGAGGGTTCCTGTTTTCTAAGACGTCACAGTCCATTTACATTGTTGTTCAAATAAACAAATAAACACATGCGGTGATTTTTAAGGCACTAAATATTAAAACGAGGGCGCTAAAGCGGTGACAGTGGGTGAAAACGGACGGCAGGCTCCGGGGTCAGCTACTTCCTACGGTTGGTTTTTTGAAAGGACCGGTTGGATCCTCTCTGCGCCGCCGACCAATCCGAAGTGAGTATTTTTCGCGCTGGTCGGCCGGAGAGTTTGAGTTTCCCGCAAGCTTTTGATTCGACTTGAATGAAACCCTCCGCTTTTCAGGATGAATACGGACATTTCCTCCCTTTAACCGCCGAGAGGACGTTCAACAGGTAACCCGAGAGACACGGTCTTTCATGTTATTGTCAACCCGGCGGTGTTAGCCGACCGGGAGTTTTTCTATGTGCAGATGTTCGGGGCCGACCATCCATTTTAGTGCGAGAGGAGCTAGCTAGCTAGCCGTGCTAATTTGACTGGGCTTCAATGGGAAGCTGGTTAGCTTTGGCTAGCACGGTTAGCTTCTTTTTCAAACGAGCTGTCATGGCGCCTGCAAATTAAGCATATGAGCGACACAAAAGCAGAACAGCTTAAACGGGCTGCCACAAGACGTCCGGCGACGCTACGGCTTATTTAGCATTCGCTTCGCATCGTTAGCTCGTGTAGCCCTTCGGGATGGCGGCTTTGTCTATTTGCTGGAATCCAGCGTAATGGCTGACTGTAGTGATGACAGAGATGCGGTTGTGCGCGATGGGAATATGCTCGTCCGCCTGTCCGTTGCAGGGATCCATGAGATTCCCACATCGTGGCTTCCGCTTCAGATAATAGTCGGATCCCCTTTCTTGCATTACATGGTAGAGCAGCCGCTAGCTATCGCTGGCATCCCACCGGCTACACTTTAACGCTAATGGTTAACATCAGGACGGAACGGTTGTTGCAAACGCTCGCTTTAACAGTAATTAGACAACTTCAGCCGTGCTGCCGTTACATTGCGACCGAGCTAACTACCTTGTGCCGTTAAGCACAATAGACACACTAGCTTGCAGCTCGAGTGGGATACATTCAATTCCAGCAATTATTCGCACTCCAGTTGCGCTGGTCCGGCTTGTCAGCTGCTTTCATTTCCGCGGCTTTTCTAGCCGGTAATGCGGTGGTAACGCGGCACGGCTAGCCACCCACTCATTGGGCATTCTGCATGCGGTGGAGCCTGCAGGCTGCCTCTCCATACCGCTCAGCCACATTCTGCAACTAGCAGCTAGCTGGTCCCTTCTCCAGCAGAAAGCCAACTTAAAATTGTCGCGGTAAGAGGTTTTCCGGCCGCCCTGTGTGTGTCTTTTTTCCCCCTTTTTTGTTGCTCGTATGCATGGATGTAATCGAGTGTTGGTTTGACTTGACCTCGTTCACATTAGTTGTGATCAGTGTGTGGATGTAGATTTCATTGAGGGGTTAATATTCTCTGGCTAGACAGAGGCATTGTTGCTTCAGACTTGTGGTCAATCGAGTCGCTCCACTTTCTTATAAAAACAGCCAAAACTAGGCGGCTGGAACATTCCGTGACAGGTGCAGTATTCTGTGTCGCCTCCAAGCTCTCCGTTCATGCTCCGCTGAAGCAAGTGAGTGCCATTTTGTAAAATGTGTAATGTTATGCTCACAGGATTCATATCCCAGAATGCCATTTTGCAAAATGTGCAGAATGAAGAGCACAGCATTGCCTGCATGATCTTAATGCTTTCTGCTTGAACCTGTGCAATAAGAAGTTTCCGTGTGCTCCTCTCCCTGCAGCTCAGCGAGCCTGGAGGGGGTTAGATGGGATGGACAGCAAAGGTAGCTCCCTGCCTTCGATGCCCGAACCAGCCAACCCGATCAGCATGAAGCAGCCACCGGAGTCCCTGAGTGTACGGAAAGGACGGGGGGACATGGGCAGTGACCCAGCTCTGCTAATGGACAAAGCTGCTGCACAGCTGGCTGCCACACTACAAGACGGCGGTCTGCAGAAGATGCCTGGCCACAGTCACAGCAACCACAGCCACGAGAGGCTCAAAGACCTCACCTCCCTTGTGCTGAACGGTGACCAAGACGCGCTGCCGACGCTTTGCACCCCGGAGCCCCCCATGCTGAAGGGCGCTGAAGCCCCTGCTACCAATGGCACCCATCAGCTGGATTGCATTCCTCACGCTGAACCTGAACTCAAGGTGACGATACCCCAGGTGATCAACCAGCCGCTGTTCGAGCCGTGCTGTGCCAATGGGACCAGTTTGGCCACAGCCATTGATGGTACTATATCTGGAGCAGATGATAGACAGGACCCGAAGAAAAGGAAGGGAGGAAGACCTCTCAAACCGAACCTTCAAACAAACTTCAGTCCCTCCGTAATCCCCGTGGAGCCACTTGATCACACGAATGCTGTAGAGGGAGCTGGAGCAGCTGCTGAGGTTTTACTTTTATTCGTATCATTAAGAAAAAAATATTTGATTAAAGCCAGAACTGCTATTTTCCTTTTGCAAATGTATGCACTGTAGTACACTGTAATTTGCATTTCTAATACTGGTTTAAAGATAAACCATAGCACAGAAACGTTACAGTTATTCTGGCAGATGGTATTAAGACAAAAGAACCTGGAATATATAAATGTCATTGAACAGTAGCAGGCTTTCTACAGAGAGTTGAAATATAAAGGTTAATTCTGTTGAAATTCAAGTATTTGCTCATATGCATTGGGGATACTGATGAGAACTATAACATGAAATAGATTTTCACATTAGACGATGTATTCTTGTACATTTCTACAAAAAAAATAAACATCAGGTGACCTTCAGGGAATGTTCAATAAGTGTGATAAAAGTTTCGTCAAATGTCTGGGGTTTTATTTTGATTTCCACATTAGAAATTGTGGAAAATTGATCTACGAAGACCAAATCTTTGAACTCTGATGCACAGCTTTTGCCACAAATAGCACTTCACATGTGTTTAAAAAAAGTATGTGAGGAAAAAAATGCACTGATTCCAGGAAAGAAAATGTGTTGGGTGCCAACATTTACTGATTGTCTAATCGTTCTTCCTCTGCTCCAGCCTGAACCCGTCACTACTCCTGAAGTGACGGAGAAGAAAACGGAAGCGCCTCCTTTGCCAATTAGCTTCTCTGTTGGGGATCTGGTTTGGACAAAGGTGTCAGGATACCCCTGGTGGCCCTGCATGGTGACCACAGACCCAGAAATCAACAATCATGTCAAACAGAAACCGAAAAGTGAGATATGCTTGTTACGAAGTTGTAACTTTTCTGTCGTAAAGTTAACAAATAGAGCTTTGTGGTTTATTTGTTAGTATATATGGTACATTTCCAGGTTAAAAGTGCCAGTTGGATAACATTTTTATTAACTTCTTGCATTTTGTGTTGTTTTTTTAAACAGTCAACAGCAGGACGGGCCTTTTTTACCATGTGCAGTATTTTGGAGATGCCCCAGAGAGAAGCTACATCTTCGAGAAGAACATGGTGTCCTTCACTGGGGAGGATCAATACCAGGAGCTCAGCCAGAGCAAGAAACAGCCGGCCTCCCGGGTTATCCACAAAAAGGTAAATCAGCCACTTTCTAAGCGATGTCTTTGCATATTGACTGTGTAGAGGATGTGCTGTTGTTTGGAAAGACTGGCCTCGGACTCCTTGCAACATTAAAACATTGCACTTCCTTAAAATGGTTGGTGCAAGTTTCGTTTTCTTTGTTATTCAGTTTTTAGAAAGCTAGTCAAGTCCATTCCAAGTTTTATATGATAAGATTTATTTTATTGTCCCATAGGGAAGTTTGTCTTGGGAAAAGTGAAAGTACAGCATATCATTCAATAAAAGCAACAAAATCTGATATAAGAAAAACCCCTATCACACATAGTGTACAGTAAGAACATAATACAACACAATAAAATAAGAAATTCTAAATTAGAGGAAGATACTGACATGTATTTTACTGCTTGATGACCATATTTGGTGTATTGAAGGCGTTTTTGTGAATTATTTTTGTAAATATACATCAGTTACACAAGAAGCTAGGTCAATCGTACTTTCAGTTGACACTGGAACACATATTTGGGCAGCTAATCTTTGTCCTGCTTTTACTAAGTGTTCTCGTAGCTATAGCTGATATCCAACTATTTGAGCATCATCGCTGTAATGTGTCATTTGTCTTAGAAATTTGCCGGTTTGTCCCTGTGTCTTGCAGACGACTCCCTCTATACCCCGTAAACTCCGGGCTCAGTGGAACATGGGCATCATTCAGGCCAAGGAGGCTCTCAGCATGTCGCTGGATACTCGCATGACCAACTTCGGGTTTGTGTACGACGACAGCGGGCCTCACCTGAACCCCCTCATCTTGGAGAAGTTGAAGCCGGTGCACAGCGACGAGGTGAACCTGGACGGAGAGTGTCGACTCAGCCCCGATCTGCCCTTTCTGCTGGCGGGTCCTGCTGGTGAACCCTCCGTGGCCCCCCAGCCCCAAGATAGCACTTCAACAGGGAAAAAGACAAAAGCACCTGGAACAAAACGCAAAGCTGGGGAATGGAAGAAAAGGGGAACCGGCGATCTAAATATTTTCTTGTCCAAAAAGAAGCTGAATGCCACGGTTTCTTCCAAAGCAATGCTTCAACCACATCCATCCTCACAGGTAACAGAAACTAAAATCGTCACAAATATTTTGATAAATTTTTTTACTAATCACTTAGCTCAACACATTTCAAAAACTGTTGAAACATCTTTAAGTTTAGTAAAGCGCAGGGTGATGTCTTCAGATGTCTTGTTTTGTCCAGGATTTAAAAAATCCAAATTTATTTAGTGCATAATGATCTGAAAATCTGTAAATCTACACGTTCAAGAAACCTGATCAATTAGCAGAGTTGTAGGTAGGAGCAGCTCTAGTTCCTACACAAGTCTGGGAAGTAGGAAAATAAACAATATTGTAATATTTTGTACGTGTTTAATTCTACAATCAAAGCAGGCACACACTGAGACATTAGCAGAGCAGAACTGGTCATTTAAACCATCAATTATTCCATATTTCAACTAAAAATATCTGGAAAATAATCAAGTTTTGAATGTACTGAGAGCTTTTTGGAATATAAGTAGTCCTAAAACCCTAATAAGACAATATAATCGTAATTTAAACGCCTGAAAACTGTATAATTTTGGTTTGCATCCTTTTATTCCATTCGTTTTTTCCATTGCAGAATCCCTCAACTTCTGAATCAGGTGTACCTCAGAAGAAAAAGAGGAAACCCAGACAGCCCCAGTCTCCCACCAAGACCGTGAGGAGAAAGAAAGCGACTGTGACGACGGACAACGCTTCTGACCCCGTGAAGAAGAGGAAAAAAACAAAGCCGGTTTCTTCGACGGATGATGTTTCGGAAGCGGTCTCACTTCCACTTTCAGTTCCAGGTTGGTTGAAAGTTGAAACTCTCGTGGCATGGCAGAAATAGCCGTCGGTCAAGTGTTGGTCAAATCAGGCCCGAGCTGGTGTGTGTTTACCAGCTATGGTCAGATTCTTCACCTTTAAGTTGCCAACATGTGGCCAGTGAAACAGTGAAGTGGTTGGTTTGTTGTGGAATCTATCATTCAATGTGGTCAGTTTATTTAAGAAGAAAGAGTGAAACCCATACAAACAAGTCCATTTCTCCTTTAAAGCTTAGAAATGCAGCGAAATTTGTCCAAAATGCTGTTTGAGAACACTGATTGTAGAGAAAACCCAATTCTAATGGCCAAGGTGTGCTTTTTTGATGGTGAAAACTGATAAAACATGAATAAATCTGCACTTTACAACAACTAATCCTTATAATTTGGCTCTCCCTTGTTCTGATTTTGGAGAAAAAGAGATGTTGCATCACAGTAAAGTACACCTGGTCTCAGTAGTTGTGTTTCCATATAAGCAAATCAGCAAATGTTTCTGAACGTTGTGGAGCAATTCAGTGAAGCTGTGTAGTGTCGTCAGAGGGTGGTGCTATAGGCTACGTTACAAACGTCTGTAATAAACGGAGTAGAAGAAGCTGGAAATAAAACCAGGGCTGCGTTCAAAAGCGCCTATGCAAGCAGTACAGGCTGATGCTGACAAAATGTGGGATGTGGTGTGCAATATGGGACAAAAAAAGCAAAATCTGCAGTATGTGGGGGAAAAAAAATCCAGATACTGATTCAGAGAAAGCGTGCTGAACATTCATAACACAGCTGTAATGATAAAGACGTTTCCCATCAGCAGTAATGTTGGCTGGCTTGAGTTGTATTCTGTATTATTATAGGCCAAGTTATCATTTAATTGTTTTTGTTCCATTAAGTTAATCAGATTTTAGTTAAAAGGCTAACTTTATCTGTGCATCTTATTCTGCTGTGTGAATGAAACACGTGGGACAATTTAAATAGAAGAAAATGTTCACAATATGACCAAACCCGCATTAAAATAATAATAAAAAACACAATCGGTCAGCAAGTTTGATGAAAGGCCCCCAGTTTGACTGAAGCAAGAGGAATGTTATGCTTCCAAAGCAATAGAAACGCCAGGAGGACTAGTTTAGCTCGCGTTAAATTAGCAGTGAAGACAGAAACCGCTGTGAATCTGGCCGATTCCAGTTGATAAACCCAAGTAACTGTTCATCTTTAGGGGAAAATAAATCATCAACATCCACATTTTTAACTTCTCCGGTGCTCTCAAACCATAAGAGGATGCTGGGTGTTGGCCGTGGTATTGTCCAGTTCTGCTTTACAAAACGAGAAACCGGCCCCAGCGTACTGCAAAATATCACGCTTGAACAGTTTCTTTTAGCAGTTTGGCAGGTTTCAAGTCCAACCCAGTTGTTTGCCAACAGCTGGGGAAAAAAATTAAAACGACAAACAAACAAAACTTTGGCCATCTATGACAGAAAAATGGAAAGAAGTCTTCATGGATTGTTTTCATTTGGCAAAACTGTAACTTCTGTTTTTTTATCAGCGGGTATTGGTATTGTGTTTTAAGCTGTTCAGCATCAAAAAATCAGAATTTATTCATAAAGTTTGTCGGTCTCCTATTTGAAAGTTGCATTTTATCTTTCTTTCAGAAATGTCAAAACTTTTTTGCAAAATCTGGGACTTTTAAAACATTTTTTTTGATAAACTGCCTGAAAACAGTTAAAATGTCTTAAAATGAACCAGATTAAAGTGTTAAATAACATCTTTCGTTTTTTTAGTGAAGAGGGAGCGAAAGAAGATGTCTAAAAGGCCGCTAGCAGACACGGCCGACAAGGACCAGCAGCCTAAAAAGAGACGCAGAACTGGCAAAGACGCTGAAAAACAGGTGAGTTTCTACCTGAGGTGATGTCAGACACAAAATTTCACCTGTTTTTTATTAGTTGATATTGGAGCTACTTTGCCCATTGAAAAGTTGAATTATCTTGTGCTTTACAAAAATGCTGATGTTGATTTTCACATCCAAATGCTGACAGAGAGTTTACCTTCACAGGCTTTGAATTCAGAAGGAACTGAGAAAAAGCGGAGAAGAAGAAAGAAAGCTGACGTAAAAGATGTGAAAGAGCCCAAGAAATGGGTGAAAAAGCCTAAAGGTCCCCTTACTGGTATAGAACCACTCTGTATTTGCACCGTTACAACAATACAAGCACCATTTCTTGGCTTGTCCTTTGAATTGACACCTCCTGTGAGTTGCTTTACGGACATATTGGCTCTGTCATTAATGTCCAAACATTCTGACTGCACGCAGGTGACGAAGATGCAGCGAAACCAAAGCGCAGGAGGAAAAGGAAGCAGGACGGAGAGAATCAGGCGACGCCCTCCAAGGCGAAGAAGAGGCGGTCCTCGCCGTGTCCTGATCCTGAGGTGAGAGGCGGTTTTAACCTTAAATCACACCAACTTGTTATCAAAGATTCACCTTTTTTCTTCATGCCTCATCTTTACCAACTAAATTTTGCAGGGTTCTGGGAGTGAAGGACGTCCTGATTCTCCCAGCGACAGTTTGGACGGGACGAAGAAGGGTGAGCGGAAGAAAGAGTTCGTCTGTCAGGTAGGTCTTCACTATTTTAATTTGTAGGATAAGGACATACGGTGGTTTTTTTCAGTGATTTATGGTTTTTCACACAGTTGCTATGTAGGATCCAACAGCTTCATGTCAAGTCAGTTTGATTGATAAAGCACATTTAAAACAGCAGGAGTTGAACCAAAGTGCTGTGCATTATAAATAGCACCCTGTTAGACATAAACACAACCACAATGTTGACTTATTGTGCACCAAAACGCTGAAAAATAGTCATAACTGGGTGCAACTCATAAAATTACTGCAGCAGCTCAAAATACATAAGCAGAAATGAGGAAAAATTAATGCGTAATAGATGCAGACAAAATGTACGAAATAGAGGGAAATAATATAAATAATAAAGTCTATAAACACCATGTACACCTCTCACATGATGTATGATGGACAATTGCAACCATAAAAAAAATGGACCATTTCTGATTTGCCTACAATTTTGGATATTTATAAATATATCAGTGCAATTTTAAATTTTATCCATCAAATACTTTCTGAGAGATCTTTTTTATTGTCTCTCGACCCACTTTCAGCACGAAACTTGATGCTACGTTTCAACGACAATATCTCACGAGCTGTTAAAGCCAGAAAATGGAAAATATACACACATTTAAAAATAAATCTGAGTTGTATTTGGAGAACCATTTTGAAACTCCAGAACTTGTTCCACTTGGATCAGGTTATCCAGCAGTATTTTTGTTTTTGTGGTGCAATGGTCAAAGCTGCTGTAAGTGCTGTTTTTTTAGTTTTATATATTTTGTCTTGCCTATATTGCATGTAGACTTTTATGTTGATGGTTATGTTCGAGAGGAGAAGGCTGTTACTCGGCAGTGTAATTGAAAGAGTAAAAATTGATGTTTGTTCTCTCCAAGTTAACCAAAACTGAGATGCCGAAGTCGGTACTTTATTCTGAAAGAAGTTCTATGAGGGTGGTTCTTGCAGTCAGAACGTGCACAATGGTTGCAAAGTTCCTGCAGTGGGAAGCGCTGTAATTCTGGTTCCACGTGTCTCTGTTTCTGCTGCGTTTTAAACTGAGTGTATGTGATTTTGTGCAGGTGTGTGAGCAGGCCGGTGACGACCTGGTGCCCTGCGAAGGTCAGTGTTTAGGGATGTTTCACCTCCACTGTCTGGGTTCGTCCCTCAAACTCGACGACAAGCTGCAGTGCCAGGCGTGCAGCACAGGTGAGGACGCCGCGCCTCGTCCACGGAAACCGACCTCGAGAGAGTTTTCAACAGCAGTAACATTAGTAGCGCGTTCCTCCCTTTTTGTCTTCTCAGGAGTTCACGCGTGCTTCAACTGCAAGCAGTCGGATGGTAAAGTCCGCCGCTGTCACGTCCCGCACTGCGGCAAGTTTTACCACGAGGCCTGCGTCCGCCTGAACCCCCTGACGGTGTTCGACAACAGGGGCTTCCGCTGCCCGCTCCACGCCTGCCTCAGCTGCCACTACGGCTGCCGCACCAAGCAAAGGTCGACCAAGGGTGAGTCAGCTTAAGCTTCTTCTGATTTAGTTATCATCAGTTTGTACATTCACACACGATGCTTTTTTAAGCTGAGCAGGTTGAAAGTTTGTGATTTTACAGCTGTAAAGGCAACAAATCGTCATTCTTATCAACCAGGAAGGCATTATGACATTTTGAGTTTCAGAAAAGTTAGATGAGATGATGATTAATGGACAGAAATATTTTACACGTGAAAAAACATCTGTATCAATAAAGGTGTGGAAAGTACAGTGAAAAACTACATGTAGGATTCAGAATTTATCTGCAGAAATGTTTCTGCAACAGGAATTGTCTTGTTTGGACCTGAAGACAAAAGCAAATTATAGTTTAATGTGAAAATATCAGAGGTCTGACGTCTTTGTGACTAAAAGTAGTTTCAGCTATTAAATGATGGTTTCATTATTTTGGGTTACTGAGTTTCTGTTCACCAGTAGAGCTGCAACAAATCCATCAATTCATTGTCAACTACTGAATTAATATCTATTTTCATGACTGAATAGGTGGTTTGAGTCTGGTTTTTTTTTTTTTAGAATAAATAAAGTCATAATTCTCTGATTCCTGCTTCTTCAATGTGAATGTTTTCTGGTTTCTTTATTCTTTGACTTTTGGGCAACATATGTGATTTTATTTTATGTTGGGCTTTGGGAAGCACTGACATTTTTCAACGTTTTCTACGACTCGATAGACCAAAAAGCTTATCAGTTAATCAAGTAAATAATCAACAGTGAAGATCTGTATGTGCTGCAGAGCTGTTCATCAGTATATTAAGTGTAATCTGGTGTCCAATCCTCTCTCTCTCTGCGCTGTAGGGAGGTTGATGCGTTGCCTGCGCTGCCCGGTAGCGTATCACGTCGGCGACCAGTGCGTGGCCGCGGGGAGCGAGATGATCACCAACACCGCCATCATCTGCACCAACCACTTCAACGCCAAGAAGGGCTACAGCCACCACAGTCACGTCAACGTCAGCTGGTGCTTCGTCTGCTCTAAAGGTTCGTCACCTCTCCTGTTGTCGGCGGGGGAGGGCAGCTACTGGTGTTGATGGCTTTTGTTTTGAGGCACTTTTGTGCAGCTGAGATTAATGTCAGATGACGACAGTTGTGATTCTGTATAATTTTCAAGTGAATTCTGAGGCGAATTTTTTAAATATCTCAAAAATATTTAAAGAAAAATTGTGAATTAGACTTGTTTCCATTAACTGCTTTTGATAAGGTCGTGATAAACGCTACGTAACAACAGTAGACGAAGCTGGGGGGGAAAAAAACTGTTGTTGCAAAATATACTTGAAAGAAATAAACGAAACTTTGTCCATCTGTGAGACAAAATCAGGCAAGTTGTGTTTGTTCAACTGGTATTGGTCGTGTTTCATGCTGTCCAGAGACGAAGACCAAAGAAACAGCCGATCAGTCGTGTGAATTAAATGTTTTTAGCGTCAAAACTTATTTAGAAAAGGTGTTTTCATCTCCCTTGAAGCGCAATTAGTCTTTCAAGAAAGTGAAAAATCACCTCAAGCGAGCATAAAAAGGCATTTCTACAGAAAAGGCAGTTATTTAACTAAATGTCCTTTTTGCTTCAAACTTTTTCTAATGCGATGCTTCTGAATATTGAACTAGACCTCCTCTGATTTTAAAGAAGAACCACTGTGCTATACATTTTTCCCTCTTTTATTCAGCAGAGGTGTTAAGCTGCCCAGATTGTGCCTCACACTGGCTATCGATCGGTTTATTTCGCAGATAACTGCATCAACAGTAGCTGCACTTATTAACATCATGGCAATATGCAGAGTCGGCGTTTAAAACTCTGCAGGAGTCTCTGCTTTAATGCACAGCAACAGCAGCTCTGCAGAAAGAGAGTTATGTGACGTTAAAAGGTTGTAGATTTTCCTAGTGTTGCCCCGGAGCAACAGAGTGTAGCATGAAAACCATTGCCCTAATCTCTCTGAAGGGCAGTTAGAAAACCGTTTTGGCACGACCGACCGCTCTAAATCTTGACTGCGGAGCCGTTAATCTCGCATGCTGCTAGAAAATCAGAAGAACGGCTCCTGGGAGGCGATTTTCAGTCGAAGTCGCTGCCAGTTTTGTGTGCTCGAGATGATGCAGAAACACAGAAGGAGAGCTCGTCTTTTCTAGCCGTCTGGTTGCTTTTATGTTTGGGAGTTTTAGCCACCAAAGCGAAGCCCTGCAGAAATCCGCCAGCCTTGTTCCTTGTTGTCTCACAAAGGACGCAACAGCATGTGTTTGAGTCGATTAACAAACACCTATGCGGCAGCTTGTTTTCCTTTTCTTTTTGGCTTTTAGTCAGACTAAGCTTGTTTTTATCACCCCTGTGCAGAAGGATGCTCTATAAAAACGGAGCTGACTCATAAGTGAACATCGAAATTACTCCGCGTCCTCTCAGGTTTAATTCGGTTTATGTTTTCGTGCTGCAGGAGGCCAGCTGCTGTGCTGCGAGTCTTGCCCCGCGGCTTTCCACCCTGACTGCCTGAACATCGCCATGCCCGACGGGAGCTGGTTCTGCAACGACTGCCGAGCCGGGAAGAAGCCCAAGTACAGGGACATCATCTGGGTCAAACTGGGAACATACAGGTGAGAAGAACAGACGCTGCTGCTTCTTTTTGCTTTTAAACTGAACAAGTGACTTATTCTTGCTCCTGGCTTTTTATATTCTTCTTAGATGGTGGCCGGCAGAAATCCACCACCCAAGAAGCATTCCCACCAACATCCAGCACCTTAAGCACGAGATCGGAGAGTTCCCGGTGTTCTTCTTCGGCTCCAAGGATTACTTCTGGACCCACCAGGGCCGAGTGTTTCCCTACATGGAGGGCGACAGGGGCAGCAAGCATCAGAGGACCGGCATCGGCAAAGTCTTCAAGAACGGTGAGGGGTCTCCGCCGCCGCTTTGCAATATTTTATTCATGTCTTAGTCAAATGATTGCTAATGAAAAGAACAAAAAACAGAAATAATTGCAGGAATCACTTCTGTCTTCTCTGATTCCTTTTTTACATTGACTTAATTGTAGATCAAGAATATCTAGTAAAAAATGCAGCTTCCTGTTTTAACCTTGTACAAAAGTCCATGAAAAGCCGCAATAAATGATGTGTTTTGTGTAAATATCAGCTCACCTGCTGCTCAGTATAAACCAGAAGGACTTTTATTTTGAAGGATCGCCTTTAACTAAGCGTTGAAATGAATATTTCCCCAGATTAAACTAAATGTACTGTGTTTTTATGCTGTTTTTTGTCCTCTCTGCAGCTCTGTTGGAGGCTGAAGCTCGATTCAAGGAGATGAAGTTGAAGCGAGAGGCCAAGGAAGCTCAAGAGAACAGCCGAAAACCGCCCCCGTATAAATTTATCAAGGTCTGAAAAGCCACTCTTTGCTTTTTATGTTTCAGATACAAACCTGCTGCATGAGAGGAGTTTGCTGCACATCAATAAATAAATGGAGGAGAGATATATAGCTTTTTTTTCCCTACTGCTCCCTCCTCTCAGGTCAACAAACCCTTCGGCAAGGTTCAGGTCTACACCGCCGACATCTCCGAGATCCCCAAGTGCAACTGCAAGCCGACCGACGAGAGGCCGTGCGGGTTCGAGTCCGAGTGCCTGAACCGCATGCTGCAGTACGAGTGCCACCCTCAGGTGTGTCCCAGCGGGGAGCGCTGCTGCAACCAGGACTTCACCAAACGCCTCTACCCGGAGACCCAGATCATCAAGACGCCGGGCAAAGGCTGGGGTCTGATCTCCCTGAGGGACATCAAGAAGGTGAGCAGAGGGTCGTCCTGCCATGAAACGCCGTCTCAGGTGTGAGACGTCAAAAGAAAACGCACATATTACACTTGATAATGGTCAGTATGTCTAAAAAAACCACCCAAGGCATTGACATAATTTATTCTTCAAGCAAATAAGCGAACAAACAGACCAACATACATCAACTTGTAAGTCTTCATTAGGGTCTGCAAGGCTCATTTTAGATTAATTAATGTTGGTGTCAGCCTGTAAACAACTACAATACAGAAAAGCCAAAGACTTGTTTTATTACAGGTCACTCTTCTCTGTAGTTTGTCCACCAGAGTTCTGATTCTTCCAGTAACGGTTTCATTTTTTCAAAATCTTTTAAAATGTCAAGACATTCGTTTGCAGTCGCTTAATTTATTTTTAAATGTTACAAACTCTCCTCTAAAAAAACCCTGCACTGGTTGGCTTTACTTGGAGTGCATGCTGAAGTATTTCTGGTGCTTTTGTAGCAGTAAACCATCTACCGAGAGTAGTTTATATACAATGCTGATAAATATTACAGGCAGGATTCTCACTTTGAAATGAAATGCTGTGATATAAGGCTGTAAAACATAAACATTGGAATGCAGATGTTGATATTTTCCAATTCATTTGATCGGTTGATGATAGATGCACACTTTTCCCGCCCATCAGTAAAGACTATTAAATCTTTCCTGACGCAGAATTAACATATTATCATACCAGCTGTTATCCTAATGATTCACTGGCAGCAGCAGAACTAAAATACTACTTTTAAACGCATACATTCACTTAGAAAAATAAGAACAGGCTTCAGATTTATTTATTTTTATGTGAGATTTTCAAACAAAGCTGTAAACCTTCAGCTGACATCGTTATCGGCCATCTGTTATGACCCGCTGATATAAGAATCTGCTTTCTTGGCCAGACATGTGAACACACACAAGAAGTTTGATCCGTTTTAAACAAGCAGCAGGAGGTTATAGAAGAAAATGATTGTTTATCTGCAATATACAGCTGTAGATATGTGCAAGAGAGCGTGTTTAAAGTGCCCATGTTTGTGGGAAAAGGCTGGTGTCCGCTCTGATCACAGCGTTTCTCAAACAGGGGGAGTTTGTGAACGAGTACATCGGGGAGCTGATCGACGAGGAGGAGTGCCGGGCGAGGATCAAGTACGCCCACGAGAACAACATCACCGACTTCTACATGCTCACCATCGACAAGGTCGGCGCCGGTCCTATGCTGTGTTGTGTCTGCTGTGCTTTGTGTTCCCGTGTGGGTTCTGTTGAGTGTCTCCGGGCAGCTCCGCAGTGTGTCGGGTTCTGTTTGCCCAGCAGCAGCAGCAGCCGTTTCCACTGGGAGCTACATGAACAGTATTGCATTGGGAATGTTGCGTGACAGACAACTGCAGCATTACAGTAGCCAATACGACATTTACAACCACAGATATTAAACAGATCTGCTGGTAATACGATACAAACCGCAGGAAGGAGGTGTTTGTTGTTGGTTTTTATTGCAAGAAATATAACAAAAGGTTCAGGTGGAGGAAACTAGAATTTCTTTCTGTTGTGTTTTTTAAGGACCGAATCATCGACGCCGGTCCGAAAGGAAACTACTCTCGCTTCATGAACCACAGCTGTCAGCCCAACTGTGAGACTCAGAAGTGGACGGTGAACGGCGACACTCGGGTCGGTCTGTTCGCCGTCTGTGACATCCCGTCAGGTGAGAGAAGGTTTTATTTTAGTCGTTTATGGGTTATTCCACCTCTAGTCATCATGGGGCCTTCTGCTCAGCCAATTCTCACTCGCTTGAAGCTGTGTTTTTTTTTTTTTACCATAATCTTTTAATATTTAAACTTGTATCTGTAAATTTTAGATTGATTTATCACGTACTTTTCAAGATAATTAATTTTAAAATGTAGCAAATTTGTAGAGAATTTCTGTTTGTCTGTTTAGATATTTATGAAGATATGTTTTTTGGAATTTTTGTCTTAATTTATCAAATACTTCATAATATAACATTTTCTTTAAAATTAACCATCGACCCACTTTCAACATTTTTTCTTCTGTATTGAAATTTGTGGCTGTTAAAGATTAAAGCCTGAAATTTTCAGGTATTTCTCGACATGTTGATGATTCAGAATCTGCAGTATTGGACAAGTATCTGTAGAAGTCTGTGATTATAGGTTTAAAAAAAAGCTGCCATAAAAAGTCCCGTCAAACTCACAATAGCAAAAAAAAAAGATAAAGCAGGAGTCCACTAGTAGCATTTACTGAACCACATTCAGCTGCATGTCACAATAATAAAAATAAAAGAAAAATAAAATACTATTTATTTTGAAATACTTCATCACAAAATAAAATAGGTCAAATTGTTATTGTTTAGCTTCCATAACCGATGAAGCAGGTTTGACAAGTTGTTCCACAAAAACACAAATATTGGTAGATGGTCTGAGCCAAGTCACGTCCTCGAGTTTCAAAATAATTCTCCCAATATCATTTAAAAAGTATATATTGGTGTATTTTAATTTTTTTTAACCTTTTATCTTTAATACTTCTTGAGACCTTAAAGTTCAAAAACTGTGCTGAAAGTGGGCAATTTAAAAAATAAAACAAAAAACATATCCTGGAAAGCATTTGATGTATCCTTCTAAAATTTGACAAATATCTTTTAAATTTTACAGCACAGAATGTGGATGTTTTAAAACACAAATCAGAGCTGGTCGAGTAGAAGTTACTCTAAAAATGTGATGATTTGGGATGGAACGCGCCTCATGGAGTTATTCTACCAAGTTGGACGATTTATTTATTTATTTTTAAATATTATATCTTTTATTTATTTTCCTGTTTTTGATGTTTCGGGTCTCAGGGACCGAGTTAACCTTCAACTACAACCTGGACTGCCTCGGCAACGAGAAGACTGTCTGCCGCTGCGGAGCTCCGAACTGCAGCGGTTTTCTGGGAGATCGACCGAAGGTGAGCTTCACAACCACAGCTGCAACTTCTTCATGTGATTTAGATTATTAACGCAATTCACAGCAAGTATCAGCTCAGAAACCTGAGTTTAACTGACTAACAGCTGCTGTTGAAGTTTGAGTGGTCACGGTGGTAGAACGAGCTCGCTGGAAAAACTACATCGGTTAAGTTTTAAGGTTTTCCACCTCCTCCGCAGAACTCCAACGGCCATGCAGCCGATCCAAAAGGAAAGAGGTTGAAGAGGAAATACAAGAAGAGGAAAACTGAGGGGAAGAAGAAGTCCGAGGACGAGTGTTTCCGCTGCAGAGACGGAGGGCAGCTGGTGCTCTGTGATAAGAAAACCTGCACCAAAGCTTATCACCTGTCCTGCCTGAACCTCACCAAGAGACCCTTCGGTGAGAAAACACCTGAGACGCTGCAGCTTTAGCTTTTTACTGCAGGATCACACCAGAGTTTGTTCAGATTATCAGCAAGGAACAGGACTGATAGCTCAAAGGTCGAACATGAAAAAAACTGCAGACTTTCATAATATTTAATCTCCACACACTAGATCTTCTACAGAGGACTTTCTGCAGGATTAGAGAACCGTTTGACTCCAAAACTGCCCGTAAATTGGTTGACTTGTGTACGTTTTACACATTTCAGCTTCATTTGAGATTATTTTTAAACACATACCGTAGTTTTTCCACTTGATTTGTTCTGGTTTCTGGGTTTATGTCGCTCTGGACTTGACTGCAGACTAGTTGAATTCTAATTGAGCTGAATAGATTAGCGGTAAATAAGTCAGTCGTTTGTGGTCTTCCAGTAAAAATCCCAAACATTTGCTGGTTCCAGATGCTCATATGTGAGGATTTATAATGTGGCTGTGGATTATTTCCTCAACTAATCGTTTGGCTGCTTGGTTTTAAAAACGTCAGAAAACGATGGAAAATGCCATTCAAAGCCCAAAACGACGTCCTCAAACGTCTTGTTTTGTCCAAAACTCAATTATGTTCAGTTTACTGTCATAGAGGAGAAAAGAAGCTGAGAAAATGCTCAAATTTTCAGTTTCAACTTGGGTTTTTTTTCCTTCAAAAATGGCTCAAACTGATTAATCAGTTCACAGAATGGTAACTAGTCGTTTATTCTATTTATAGTTGCAGTTCTGAATGACTGTAAGTAGTCAATGTGTGGATTGTTTTTACGGTTCAGCAATGCTTTTGAGTTTTCACTGTCTAAAAAAAGTAATAATGTTCAGTCTTTCACCAGAAAAGCAACAAAAAATCCCAAAACAATCAGTTTTTATTCACCTTCTGCTTCATCAGTTGTGCTCAGATTTATCTCTCCATCTTTTCCAGACACTGCTTTAAGTTTTTGTGTTGTTAAAAACGTAATCCTGATTTGTGTCTGGTGGATGTATTCCAGCCAGAGACTGGAGGGACTAATGTGTGCTTCCTGCTCACCCTGCTCTTGTGCCCCCTGCAGGCCGCTGGGACTGCCCCTGGCACCACTGTGACGTCTGCGGGAAGAACTCGGAGGCCTTCTGCCAGCTCTGCCCCAACTCCTTCTGCAAGGCCCACCAGGAGGGGGCGCTGCGTCCGTGGCCCGCCACCGGCCAGCTGTGCTGCATGGAGCACGACGAGCTGGAGGGAGCCGACGGCCCGGCGCAAGACGCCGCCGGCTCGGAGACCAACGCTGCCGCCGCCGTCGCTAACACCGGCCTCCCCGCTAAAGGCTCCAGGAAGGCGGACGGAGCCGAGGCCAAAACGAAGGGCTCCAAGAGGAAAGCAGCCGAGGCCTGAAGTGACCTTTCAGGGCGCCAACAGACCAAACCAAGACTCTCACATCCTTCTTCTTTTTTTTTTTTTTTTTTTTTACCCTCCCCTCCCTCCGTCGTGTTTCAGAATCACAGGAACCAAGGCACTGTACATCTTCGTCATCAGGGAACGCCGCTGATCTCTCACGTGCTCGGCCTTCAGCTAGCCGCTCGTTCTTTGTTATTATTATTATTATCATCGTTTTCAGGTTTTTATTTGTTGTTTTTCTGTTTGTCTGCACTGAGTCGAACCATCTGTGGTAAAGCACAAACGAGCAGGTCAGGACACCTACTTCAGCTACTGGATTCACTCTTCCACCAACCAAACTGCCTTGTTTTTGTTTGTTGTTGTTGTTGTTTGTGTCGTTTTATTAGAAAAACAAAAGAAACCCGACAAAATCCAGCCTGAAGTTAGACTGGCCGTCTGCTAACTTGAATCTCAGTCGCCCTCCCCTCCTTCACTCAACACGGATTACCTTGAACAGCAGAGTTTTATCGCTATATCTATATATGTGTATATCAAAGACCAAAATTATTATGACTGGAGTTGGTGTACGGCGTCAAACAGGTTGCCAAATGGATGGTTTTTATTTTTATATATATAGTATATATATGCCAGATTTCCTATCAAACGAGACACTATGGGTAGGCTTCAGTAGCCGTAGATCGTTTAACTGTAGATGCTATTTTACAACCTGTTATCTTGTTTTAGCTCAGCTTTTTTTTTTTTTCGTTTATTTTTTTCTCTCAAAGATGCTGCAAGTCACGTCCAGAGAACGAGGGGTTAAACCGCCGCTAAGAAACAAACACTACCGGGAGGTTTTCGACGCTCTCCGTTTGATGATTTAACAAAAAAAAATTTAAAAAATGAAGGAATGAGAGCGAGACTTGTGTTTCACAGCCGAGTCCTTTTGGTGCTTTTTTTTGTTTTTTTTAGTATTTGAAAATCTGAGGTACAAAGTTTGTTTTTTTTAGGTATAAATACTCCCGTGATGCTGTCTGGAACCTGAACGCTGGACTTTTTATCGACCCTCGGTGTTATTTTTTTAATCCTCAGGAGGCTTCAAAGTCCGATTATCGTCGGACGCTTTAACGCTGGCCGACACCTCGTAACTCAGTTTATCGTCTGTCGAGGGGATTGCGCGGCGCGGTGGGGATGTTAGGACTCACATCTCAGCTGTGAAACCCTGTTTTCTGTCCACACCGGCTCCCTACAACACGCTCATGCTTCAAAACTGACATTCAGGTCTTTATTATCACTGCAGAAAGCTCCACTACTCGCTAAAAGCCTCATTAAACCTAAACGGATGTAAGAGCTGAAAATGGTGACGTTAAGTGAAAGTCTTTGGCGTTAGGACCACTGAGAACATAATTAACAGCAGCCTGGATGTTTTTAGCCATCAGGGGAACAACTCAGGCTTTCAGAAATCCACATCGTTTTCACCTCAACCTCATTTCTATCATTTTTAAGTCAAAATCTTAAGTGAGTGCCGGTGCTGCTCGACTCCTAGCTGAATTTAAAGCGTCCAAAATAACGATTTTATTTCCCACGACGCCTTAAATCTGCTCATTATGTCGGCAAATCAGGATTTCTACGCCTTCTCTGATTAGTTTCTGTTGAATTTTTGAGCTCTAAACGAGTGAAAATCGTCTTATTTTACCAGAAAAGGCAAGAAAAATCCACTTTTATCCACCTCAACCACACTCGGTCATCATCATGCTGATTTAAAAAGTGCTTCGAGACGTTCTGAAGATTCAATCAGCTGTTCTGGGAGGTTTTCGTTGGTGCTCGTGTTTGACCTTTAATCTCCAAAAACATCCCCAGAAAAGGAAAAAAAACCCCACATTAGACTTGTACAGACGCAACAGGAGGCTGTTTTTGTTTTGTTTTTTAACGTACCTGCACTTTTTTTTTGTTCTTTTTTTTGTCCCACCTGTGAAAGTGCAGCGAGTGTCGTACGAGTGTCCTCCTCCTCCTCCTCCTCCTCCTCCTGCGTACCGACCGTCATCCTAACCCTGATTCTTGTGTTGAGTGAATGTAGTCCAGCCAGTCGTCGTTTTCTTTTCCTAAGCACTGTAATTCCCTGTAGAGCTGAGGCGTAACGTGGCGTTAGAGGGTTTCACTCTGTAACTACTGTCATAGCGAACCAGAGACTAATATGTACATAATGTATAAGTGGTCATAGTGATGCATCTATTGTAAATATCATACAATCTCTCCACGTTGTATGTTTTTTTTTGTTGTTTTTTTTTCCTCCCCTGATGCAGTGCTGAAACACTTTTGTGCAGGATCTCACGTCAGTTGAATCGTGCAATAAAAAAAAGTGGTCAAACGTTCATCCGCTGTATGTCTGTTTTGTCTCCAACGTGGCTTCAAGTTGGTCTGAAGCCCTGAAATTTGGGTTCAGATGTTATTTTGGTGACAAATCATTCACTTGTGTTGAAGTAAAGCTGAAATAACGCAGGACTCGTGATGATTGTGGGCTTTATTTCTTCATAGATATGGTTTAAAATTAAATCCAGCTGCACTGATTGAAGGTTTTTTGTTAAACGTGTGCAACCTGAAGTCATCTTTATTAATTCATCATGAGTCATGCATCAGTTAAACGTTATTTATAGAGTAACTATAAAGGGTTACCAGCATTATTTTCGCTCGTCGCTGCAAGGCTTTATCTTCTCATTTTGTTTTCAGTTCTATTTGTTAGTTATCCCGACGACCAGAGGTGAAAAATGCTTTCTTAAATTCAGAAATATTCAGTCTTTTCTGAGTCCTGTACAGCATGATTCAAATCCTAACTGCTGGTTGGAGCTAAAACTAAAGATTCATCTTTTATTCGCTCAATTATTCACTATATGGAGTTGGATGGAGTAACAATTGGCCAAGTTCATTGCTTCTTTTTTTTTTTTTTTAAAAAGAAGTTTTAGAAATTGATTTCTCTCAGTTTGATATAATATTTAATTTAACGATTTGCCTCCTTGAGAATTACACTTTAGAGTAAATTAGATGTAAAACACAATTTAAAGTGTCTTTTACTCACTAAACTGCAGGTTAAACTGTTTTTTTTGGCTGCTCCAGTTTTCTTATTTGCTTCTGTAAACGCAGAAGTAACTCATATACAGTAAAAAGAAATAAGCTTCTTTTTCTGTGAACTTCAGCTGGTTAAAACCTGGAACAGCTGCTAAAGTTGTTTAAAAAAAACCAAACATATATTTTCTGGGCTTTTGCCTTTATTTAGAGCAGTGGAGAGAGACAGGAAAGTGGAGAGAGACCTGCAGCAAAGGGTCATGAGCGGGAGTCGAACCCACGACTGCTGCATCAGGGATCTATAGCCTCTGATTATGGGTCACCCGCTCAGCCAGGTGAGCTACATGTTGACAAGGCTCAGCAGATAATTTACATTCAGACTTTAGTTTCTGTGTTTTGGCTGCAGCAGGTCCTGGATCAGTCTTTGATTGTTCTGCAGTTTGTACGACTTGTTTCTTCAATGTAGGCTTCATCCCTGTTCAGCTCAAGCCTCAGAAAGATGAATCAGCTTCTTTATCAGCAAATGTAAAAGTGTGACTTTAGCAGACGTTCCAGGTTTTAACCACACAGAATCAAACATTATTGTACTACATATGAGTTACTTCTACTTTGCAGATGGAAAAACAAAAAACCTATTCAGCCTGCAATTTTGTAAAAACAAGTACACAAAGAAAAACTGTGCCAAACCAAACCCAAGTCATTAAATCAAAAGGTATAACGAAATGACAAAAATCGATCTTAAAAAAACAAAACAGAAACAATGTAGATCTTTAGTTTTGGCTCCAGTTTTCTCCAACCAGCAGTTAA